TGGGGGAGTGAGGCCGGGAGTGGCTGGGTTTGGTGAGCCTGCCTTCAAGCTCCACAAATGCTGGCAAGTAGTCTGCATCAGCAGGGGTCAAAGGTCTGCACTTTGCCTCTGGGCAAAGCTGCTGGGGAGTGGCTGATATGGCCCCAGTCAACCAGACAGTCTGCATGTGGAGGTAGGGCTGTCTGAGATCCACAATCTAGCAGGTCTTACTCCTTTCCACCCTCCTTTATTCTGTGGTTTCCTCTGGGTCTCTGGACCTCAAGCCAGCTGAGCTCCCCTACAACTGTGATGCAGGCTGGGAGGTTCCCTGCCCATGATCTGGCCTAAACTGGGAGCACAGCCCTTCTTGGGGAGGAAGGGTGCCCCATGAACACACCACAGGTCAAACTCGCACTGCACTCTCCCCACTGATCTGCCCCTGTGGGCACCCACACCTCCTGAGACTAATTATAAAATATCCCTTCTATGCACCCAGGCAATGCAATTGAGACCTGTGGGCATAGGATCTGACCTCTGGGCCCATTTCCAGGGCTGTAGAGATCAATCCTTGACCATGCCAGGGAAAAGCATGCTGGTTCCAATTCACCCACAGGGTACTCAAGCTGGTTCAATGTCCTTCCACCTTGGGGCATGCCACACTCTTGTGGAGCCACTAGGCAAGCAGCACCAGGGAGGGCCAGCAGGCAGAGAGCTCACAGTCTGAGCACCCCTTAGTCCACTGCAGGACCCCCAAAAGAAAACCTCTGAGCCCCACTCTCTGTGGAAGTCTCTGTGTGGCAGCTCAATTGTCTCTTTCAGCAGCTGTGGGGGTTGGGGAAAGGGGAGAAAAAGAGTCTGGGTGGAAGAGAGCCAGCACTCTGGTCATCTCCAACCCTCTCTCTTGGAGGCAGTTCACTCAGAATGACCAGGCTCTGAAGTCATGCAGATCACCCAGGACCCAGTGGAACCCTGTGGCTCCTGTAGTCTGGGCTGGCGTTGGGAAATGTCTGTGTGGAGATGAGCAAGACAAAACCTGAGGAGTTGAAGCCCCTTGTGGAGGACAAAGTCACATAGTAGGTAGAGAACCAATATGGTGCCCGTTGTCCAGGCTTGGGTCTGTGGGGCAGGAGGCACCCTGGCAGAGCTGGGAGCCTGATGCCTGTCTGCAAGAAGCTCCCAGCTCACTGGTGGCAGAAGTTTCTGGGCTCGTGTGGGCAGAAGGTCTCTCTAGCAGCTCAGGAACCCACCAACTGTCTCAGATGTGAGGGAGGGAGAAACTAACTGCTTGAGCTCTACCCTTCTCACTGGTCTCTGAGCCTCGTGGTGGTTGATCTTTGCTGATACCTCTGTCCTTGCAGTTCTGCTGTGCAGCCTCTTCCCTTGGAGTCTCCTGAAGGTTCTGGTAACCTTCCTTTAGACCCTCATCTGATCTATGTTTGTATGTTTGTTTTTTCTCTTTTTTCTAAAACTTTTCCTTCTTACTGAGATGCTCTGGGTGGTGGTGTCTCTGGTCTGCCATCTTGGAGCTCACTCTATATGCTGAAACCTCCAATGTTTGTTCCACTTTTTGATAGCACAGCTGCCTCCCTCCAGCCTCCTACAGCAGTTTCCTCACTGCTCTTCCAGCTTCCACTAACAGTCTTCTCACTTCCCTTCTAATCTCTGCCCATGACCCAGTCCCAAAGTTAATGCCATCCATATATTTTAACTTATGGAGGCTTTCCACAGTTGGTATTGATTTCTGTTTTAGTTAGCTATATTTGCTATGTAACAAGCCACTCCAAAACTTGGAGGCTTGAAACAACAATGGTTTATTGGTTGTCATGGTTCTCTTTGTTGGCAACCTGGGTGATTCTATTGTTGGTCTTTCTTGGGATGACTCATATGTCTGTAGGCATCTCATAGATCAACTAGGGTTGGAGGTGCCAGTATGTCTTCACTCACAGGTTTGGTAGTTGATGCTGGTTGTCTTTCAGGGCACTGTGGTTTTCCTCTATATGGCCTATTCTCTTCCAGCAGGCTGGACTGGGCTTTTTCACAACACAGTGGTTACTGGGTTCCAACAGGACAAGAAGGGAAACTACAAGGCCTCTTAAGTCCCAGGCTCTAGAACCTGAACAATGTCACTTTTACCTTCATTCTATTAGTTAAAGCAAATCACAGAGCCAGTCCAGATTCAATGCATGTAGTAGTAGATTCCACCTCTTGCTGGGAGGAGCAAATATGCTAGTTGCAAAGGGGCATGGACACAGGGAGGCATGATACACTGGGGCAACTGTGAAAAGGACCTACCATTCCATTTATTTATTTATTTATTTATTTTGGAGACAGAGTCTTGCTCTGTTGCCTAGGCTAGAGTTCCCTGGAGTCAGCCTAGCTCACAGCAACCCCAAACTCCTGAGCTCAAGTGATCTTCCTGCCTCAGCCTCCTGAGTACCTGGCACTACAAGTGCATGCCACCACACCTGGCTAATTTTACTATTTTTAGTAGAGATGGGGTCTCACTCTTGCTCTAGCTGGTCTCAAACTCCTGAGATCAAGCAATCCTCCTGCCTCAGCCTCCCAGAGTGCTGGGATTACAGTTGTGAGCCACTGCTCCCAGCCATGTTTACTTTTTTTGACCAACAACTCCTTGAGCGACTGGTTCCATGTTATCTTTGCATGTCTTTCCCAAGGGTACCTTCTGCTCTGGCATTCTTCGTGCTTTTGTGACCCCTTTCTTTTATATTCTCCTTCATGAGCTCCTCTTTTTCTTTTTATCCTTTTAATGTTGGTGCACTTCAGAACTGTTAACTCTATCTACTGTTTTTTCTCTACAGTCTCACCTTCTTTATTCTCAGCTACATTCATTATTTTAATACTATCTCTGGATGCTCTTGAAATCTATAATATTCCTTCCAAACCTCTCAACACTAGCTCTTTAGATTCCTGAATCCAACTGTGAGTAGACATCTTCTCCAGGACATTTTTCTGTACTGCAAATCCATATCTATCCAAACTATCCCAAGCCTGCTGTTGTATTCCTGGTCTTAGTGATGGGGCCATTACTATTGCTGGGGTCAGTCCTCTCCCTCCCTCACCCTCCAAGCTCTATCAATCTTACCTTTTAAATATTTGTTAAATACACCCCTTTCCATCCTTGTGCATCTTAATTTAGGCCATCATAATCTCTTGTCTGGATAGTAACCTTCCACTGGTCTTCCTGCCTTCAATGTTTCCATTCTCAAATCACAGTGACATACTAAAAGATAGATGTGACTACACCACATTCCTCCTTAAAAGTCTACATGACTCCTCAGTGCCTACATTTCTTAATGTGAGTTCCAAAGTACACTCGCTCCATGGGATGTTAATAGGAACTACATGAAAAAAAAGTTTCCATACTCAAATTAGTTTGGAAGATGCTGGTTTAAACAAAGGTAAACAGATATCTTTTGGAACGTCTTGTAGAACTTCTCAGAGTTTATCACATGCTGGTGTACATTCAGATTCCCTAAGAGGCAATATTGAATGCAACATCTCCTTTCTCCTTTTTCCTTACCCTGCATAGTTTTTCAGGGATTGGGGTTTTCAGGAGTACCTCACAGGATGAGTATATCACACTCTAAGAAAAGTTTACCTATTGAGATTAGGTCTTAAGATTAAGATGCAGTCTTCATCTGGATAATCATGGTCACCCTTAAAACTCAACTGAAGTATCTCCTCCAAGAATATCTCTTTTACTCCCTCTCCAAATCAAGTTTGATTCATGCCCTGTGCTTAATTTTGTCCTCTTACATTGTTTTATAATTATATACTTCTTTTTCTCTCCCCCACTAGACTGTGAGCTCCTTAAGGCCTTGGATTATACTTTCATTGCCCTAACACAGGGCTTGGAACAGAGTAGGAATTTAAAAAATATTTGCTTAAAGGATAAATAAATAAACAAACATTCCATCATATTAATCAATTATAATTTTCTTGAGCTAGGCTTACTTCTGGATGGGCAGGGTTGGAAATACTACAAGTGTAATAATTGCATATATGTCTCAGGGCTGAACTTCTGGGACACAACTTTCTTACAGTGGGCACCTTGCCAGGACTATCATGGAGCCTTACACATTGGAGAAATCCATCAAGTGCCCATGTAGCCCCCAGATTAGGGGTAGTCTGGGTGCTGCCACTGTGCCCTTTGGAAGGCAGTTTCAGAGTTTGCATATGTTTTATTAAAGCTGTTACAGGTGGATCATTTTTTTATCTCCTGGAGAAGGAGCTAATGAATGGATGGCCATTGTCTCAAGATATAAGTGGAGTGAATTCCCTCTTTTATTGCAGTGACTATCATCCCTGAAATTGTAAAACTTGAGAAAATATGCTAAATGTAGTGGAGGTTGAAGATAACATTTCTAAACAAAGGATAGGCAAGAGTACATGGTCAGTATGTGAAGAAGCAAGTGTAAGCAGTATTCCCAGGAGGTAACTTTAACCTCTGAGTTTAATGTCAGTGGCATGCAAAAGGTGTAATTTTTCTCCTATTTTGGGGGGAGGATTGACAGAAAATACAGTCTATCTTTCTCTTTAGATAGTTCTTTATGAGGTTGAAATGATTAGTTACACTGAGAATCAGTATTTTGCACTCTCTATTCTGCTGTAGAAAGATGATGCTACTGATCATTTATATTACTGAAGATCATTTATATTACTGCTATTTATATTACTGAAGAAAACTCTATGAGTTGCATAGATTTTCATTTTCTTAAAGCTAGGAACCTTTGTATCTCTTGTAATATTCAGGACTATACTTTGTTAAAAATGAGTATTCAGTAAATATTGATTAATGAACCAAATGAAATTTATTTTCTACTAGGGCACTTTTTGGAGATGCTCCAAGAGGGAATATTGAATATAATTATTTCCTTGTAATAGTATATTTTCATATATTGAGTTCAGTAATAATAGTGAGGGTTATGTAAGGGTTAAGGATAGTACATTATATTTATGTTTTGGTCTTTTGTAATTTTTGTTTAAAATTGTATGTTTAGAGTAGTTTTGAAAAACAGTGTAATGATGGAATTCTTGAAGCAGAGGCAGCTCGGATATTAATTGGTGCAACCAAAAGCTATTGCCACATCCGAGGAAAGTGAGTGTAACACTTCTTTAATTGATATTTCTAAAATTGAATAGATGATAAAGAATGAGCAAAATGAGAATTAAATGTCCAGACTGATCAATCTATTATCTCATTTATCTATATCCATCTATCTTCTGTCTGTCCATCTGTCCATTCTTCTGTCCATCCCTCTATCCATGTATTTTCCATATTACTTGTTTGTATTTTCCCCCCTGAAGTTTTATAACCTTGGTGACATTAGGGAATTCTGGAGGAAGATCTGACTGCAGTGTAATTAGATAAGAGATTAGGGAGTCCATAAAATGGAACCTATATAGCTTCAACTACTATTATAATTATTTTGCCTTTATACTATATTCATTAAATTTCTGGATAGAGGATGCACAGAAGCCTGGAGGCTACTATTAGGCTGATCTCTGGGGTGGAGCAGGCTCTGGAGGAACTGACCCAAATGCCTGTTGCTAGATGCAATTAAGTCTGGTGGGGAAAGTTCAGTGTCAGAGATTTATTGATATCTGGTCACAGTCCTGGCAAACACGAGATAATATGTGGTCTAAGACAAAGCTATGGGGCAACAATGATAGGAGATCCTGGCTGGGTGACAGTTAATATTTCAGCAGCCTGATAATCTATTTGGGGACTCTATGATCAGTTCCTGGGATAAAGTTTGGGAAGGGTAGGACCTTCAGGGTTTTGGAGAGGCTTGGTCTAGGCAACCCATGACAAAGAAAGACTTGATTCTTAACCCCACAAAATTGGTCTAGAGAAGGTGTACTTACTTTCTACCTCAGGTCAGGAATGGTTGCAGGAACAGGTGAAGCAGGAGTCTCATGCTGAAAATATTTCTGTACCATGACCATGGGGGGATAGGTGGATGGATGCAGAGGCTTGGGACTGAGCATATTTAGGAGGTTCATATTAAATTTATATTGGGCATAACTTCTCCTTTTATATTATCCTAAGTATAGCACTTGCTTTTTATTATAACACACATGTATATTTTTCTCTGTTAGATTCATGAGTATATATGATGTTTCATCTTATGTAAGAGCCAGAAATTGGCTTATAAAATTTAAAAACTTTTTAACTTTCTTGGAATATCGCCAAGAAAAGATACCTTTTATTCTACCGGGGTAAGTACCGTGAACCTTTAATAGCAATATACTTGAAAATATGACCATTTCTACATTGTCAGAATAGATTACCTTGATTTTTCTTATTTAAAAAAACTAAGGTTGTGGCTGACCCTTATTGATTGACTGGGTGAACAGAATGCTTGCTTCTCTTCCTCCTTTGTGCTTTGGCAACTTCATTAAGGTCTTTATTAGAGAGTAGGGTAGAAGAAGGAAAGGATGGTCATAATGGACCATTTGGATTCTTCAAGTTTTAATTTCTATGTCTTGGGATCATATTGTATACTGGGATGCTTACATATTCTGGGTAAAACATAGAACAAGGGTAAGAAATATCCAACTGGTGGACTAGATCCAACTCTGTTTAATTTTATCTGTGCCTGATGAAACAGAACCATGGGTGGTTCTGTTAATGTCTATAATTAGAAAAACACAACATGGTCTTAATAATACCTATAACCAATTTTCCAAAATATTGCCAAATACAAATTTTACTTAATGTGGGTAGACTCTATTTTATTATATAAATTGTGACCTCACATACTTTTTATAGCAAAGAGATAAGGTTTTTCTACTAATAGAAGATGTAAAAACAAGAACATACCAGGAGTGTTAATGCTGCTAGATTTTTTAACAAAACCTTTTATAACAATTTATGATAATTTTTTATTCTCTTCTATTTAATAAGTTTAAACAGAAAAATAAAAAATTAAAACCCTAGGGTCTTGATATATTTCCCAGGAACCTCTTTTTGTTATGCTCAACTTCAGAGGGATTGAAAAGTTTAAAGAAATATATGTCATAGTAATTATTGAATAGAATATATTTTCCTGATCTTAATTTTAAACAATGCCAATGTGCAATCCACTTTTTCCTTAATTTGTTTCTTGCTTTGATTTATGAATCTTTGCATTGTTTCCTAACTACTATAGCCTTGGTTTTAAAAAATGCTCCCCATCCTTGATGTAGATTAATGAGTCATATTTTTATCTTTCTCCATTATAATCTTTATGTATAGAAAGTATGCTTTTGATTTTTGCTTGCTATTTTTCTATATTATTTATAGCATTCTTCCAATTAATTTTAATGATTTGTTTAAACTAATGTTGAACTTTAGCTCTTAATTGTCATACTTTTAAGTGATCTGACATTTTATTTGATCTCATTTTTTTCAGGACTAATAGATTTCTGATTTTTATATATCACATTATATTTTCTGAAGAATTCGAATATGCAGGACATATTATAACATTTATGTATATTTATCCTATGATAATACATTTGTGGCCAATGGCAAGAAAGTTAAATGTGTCAGCACTGATATCAATAAACTACTATTTTATGTGTTTATATGTATTACAATCAGCATTGAAGGTACCGTTTAAAATATAAATGTTTAAAATAAAATATAGAAAGAACATATTTTGAATCCATTTTTCTCATATTATTGAAATAACTTGATACCAGGAGCCATTTGCTATAATAGTTAATGAGATTCTGGAATTTTAGTAACCTTTTTGAATTTTGTGAGTTGAATAACAAAACAATATAATAGTCACAGTCTTGGACATCAGATAAGTATCATAAAAGTAGAGAGAATCTCAAAGATCAGGTAAAAGAGAATTAAAAATCCAGACATGGATGTTTCCCTGAAATACTTTCTATAATAATGCAAGAAATAAATAAGTGAATAAAAACAAATTGGTTTGTCAGGTCCTTGTCATACTATGAGAACAACTTCTTAGGATAAATTCTTCAAAGATGATTTATCAGCATTACTGTTTTCATGCTTTATTATTAATAGTATTGCAATGAACCTGTTTATTGCTATTTTTTAATGCTTTTGTTCAGCATTCTAGCTTTATTATAGATTATATATTTTGAATCAAATGATAATTTTTGATGTTGGAGATTAAAAAGAATTTTGGGAGGCTTCCAAATTAATAACTTTAAGCTCAACCTTTGAAATATAACTCATTTGTAGTTGAGGACTTAACTGTTAAATTTGTAGATTTTTTCCCCCCACATCACTGTATAGGTGCTATGAAATGACGTATAATCTATTTGTTTTCTAAACAGATAATAATTTGGAAAAGGATATATTTTGAACAACTTTGGAATACTTTTGAGTTTTTAATTGTGGTTGTTGGAATCGTTGATGTCTTTTGTTTATACTTTGTCAAAATGAGACCAGACAACTTGGCTCTTATTAAGTTTACAGTATTAATAGGATATTTGAGAATAATTAGGTTTATTCCTGTGTTAAAGGTAAGACTTCACATTTTTAAATATTAGGGTTTTTTTCCTATGTTGTTTATTAAATGAGTTTAGAAATCTCATTGTTTTAAAAGAAATGAGGGAAGGAGCTGTCTTTTTTTCTAGACTAGAAATAGGGTGGAACTCTCCCAACAGGTATCTGCTTGGTTCATTCTGTCACCTTCTTCATATCATGGCTCAAATCTCACATTGTCACAGAAGCCTTCCCTGACCACCCTGTGTAAAATGGCAACATGTCCTCCACAGCCCCAGATTTCTACCCCATCCTCCTGATCCCCCTCCACCTGCTTAACTGTTATTTTTCTCCCCAAACCACTTATCACCTGTTTACTGTATATTGTACGTACTCTGCACGAGGTAGGGATCTTTGTTTTGGTCATTGATGCAACTTGTGGCTCTAGAAGAGAGCCTGGCATATAGTAAGTACTTTGTAAATATTTGTTGAGTGAAAGAATGAAAATCTTGGGGCCACTAGAAGCAGGGTCTCCACAAAACAAGTTCTCCAAGTTTCAACTTGTTCATATCACCTGAACTGTGCAGAGACAGAAATATTTTCTCCATAACCGCATAGTCACGTAGCAGGCTACCTGTGGGATTTAACTTTACCATGGCCTTCAATCTCCTTAGCAATTACTATTCCTTCTTTCCATAGCTCTGATTTTGATTCTGAAGAGAGATTTTTAAATTTTCAGTTTCAACTCTTGCACCTACTTTCTCTTTCCAATGGCATGGCATTATATAAGTTTCTAACTTGGGACCTTTATATGGTTTCACTTGCCACTCTATTTTTTTTGTTGTTGTTTAATTCTTATTACATCAAACAAGCCTATTAGTATGTATTGAAGCTATAGAGGCTTAACATTTTTAAAAAATTGCTGTAAACCTTGATGGCAAAATGCACATATCAGAATCCTCCACCTAGTCCCCATTCTCCATATAATTTATTTATTTAATTTTTTTAAAATTTCAAAATAGTAAGGGGGTACAAATATTTTTGTTACACGGATAGCTTTTATAATGCTTTAGTCAGGGCTATTAGTGTGCCCATCACCCAAATAGTGTTTATTGTACCTGTTAGGTAGGTTTTTACTCCTCCTCTTCTCCCCCATCTCCTCTTCTCCATTTCCACGATTTTTACTTTTTTCTGTGCCCATGTGTACCTATCAATTAGTTCCAAGTTTTTTGAAAGTATATGTGATGTTTGGTGTTCCATTCTTGAGATACCCCACTTAGGATAATGGTCTCAAGTTCCAAGCAAATTGCTGCAAAAGACATTGATTTGTTCCCTTTTACAATTTAATAGTTATCTGTAAGGCAGAATTGTTTGCATCTCCAGCTTCTGTGTACAGACTTTCTTTTTTGTTCCTTCCTTTACTCTATATTGGTGTAACCAAACTTTAGAGTTCATAAGAGTTACCATATAGAGTTGTATACGCAAAGACTACTTTCAAGGATAATTTTGATTCTATGTGATTTCTGCCTGATGAGCTGAGTTTAGAGTGAAGTGGTCATGTAAGATATATCTCTACCATAACACAGACGTCTCTAGAAATCAGAATGTGTAGTGCGAGGCTAAGACTTAAAATGGAAGGTAGAAATTTCTTTAGGTAGTCAGTATTTATCTTATGCTAAGGAATGTAAAATAATTATTTTAGAAGTAATATTTTGTGAAAAATACTTAAAATGAAACAAAGATTTAAAAAATGTATTATTGTGGAAGCTATCTGGATTGTGGCCAGCAATGTTCTGCACCAGCTGCTGCTTTGGTCTAGCACGCTCTGATAAATCTCAAAGAACTATATTTAAAGAATTAATATTATTACTATTAGCTTTTTTATTGTGCACTTACTATTTTCCAGGAACCATGTTAAACACTTTATGTACATTATCTAGTAAATTATTATAACAGCCCTGTGAGGTAGGTGCCACCACTCTGTAAAGTTAGGTGCCTTAATAGCCAGTCTCAGCACAATGCAGCTTTCAAAAGAGACAAATCTGCATTGGAAAACTTGCAAGAATATTGGATATCTTCAGGTGATCTAAGGGGTAGCTCAGGGGATGTCAGTGCATCATGGGGTAAAGCTTTGAAAGGATCCTTTTTAAATATCTCTCCCTTTGCCTAAAGTTTCACAAGTAAACGTAGCAGCTGAAACAATCTCTCCTTTCTCTGCTCTTGTAATTTGTTCACTATGGTGCTATTTTCCTGTTCACTTTTTTCTCCCGTGTTACCCAGTCCCTCACCACCTGTCCTGTGCTTTGACACCACTTTAACTCTGTGGGAGTCCCCATCTGTGTGACTGACTGCATTGCTTTTGAGAAGCAGCTTCATTGGAATTCTGGTATTTAGATATTATTTTCTTCATTTTACATGTGAGGAAACCAAATCCTCAAACACACGGAGTAACTTGCTCAAGGTCACAGAGCTGGTGAATAGGAGAGCTGGCATTTGAACCCAGGGAGGTTTATATTTAAAATCTCATTCTCTTAGGTCACTACATTGGCCTGCCTCTGCTTATGGCTAGAGAACTCTAGCGCTAAAAAGGATCTTAGATACTTTAAGTTCCTTATCTTCCATGTAAAGAACTAAGGTGCAGAGAGATGATCTATTCAATTAGTAACTATCACCTAGGTTACAGTGCCACCTGTCTTGTCTACTGAAATCTGGGAATACAGAGAATGCAGCAAAAGGCAATGCTAGAAACTTCCCCTTAAGGCTAACAGAGTCAGTTGTTCATTAGACTTTAATTTCTTTAGAGAGTGGCTCTCAAACCTGAGTATGCATAGACTCACCTGGAGGATGTGTTGAAACACTGACTGCTGGGCCCCACTCCACAGCACCTGACTCAGTGGGTCTGGGCTGGGGCCCAAGAATGTGCATTACTAACGAGTTTCTGGGTGCTGCTGTTGCTAGTCTAGAGGTAACACTTTGAGAGCTTCTGCTTTAGAGGGTGTTTTGTGTCATCAAATTTACAGGTGTTTTTTTTTTTTTTTTATCTCCCTATTATTCCAGACAATAATACCAATGCTCATAGATATCACAGATGTGCAGATCAAAAAACGCCTCAGCTTGATGTATAGTATTACAAAAGGCTATGTCAAAAGTCAAGAAGATGCCAAACTTTTAATAAAACAAATTTCTAGCCGTGAATCAATATATCAGGTGAGAAACAAGCACTGGTCATTTGGGGAAAAAACACAACACTTAGGTGTTCTCTGTAATTTAAGACCATTTCTACATGTATTTGGCCAAACTGAAAAATTCCAACAGTTGAAGGGGATTCAATTATTTATGACATTATATGAGGTGCTTCAGAGGAGAATAGTCTCTGATCTTTACATTTCGGCTAATATCAAACTTATTATCTTCATAGCAGCAAATATACAATTTATTTTCTGAGTGCAGAGTAGAGAAGAGATTCCCTCTGGCTTTGTAACATTCTAAAAGATAGGGCATTTTGAAAAGGCTTTATGCAGGAGTTGATACTTGAACAAAGTTTCAAAGAAATTATAGGTCTTGAGCGGTGAGGAAGAGAGGAAAAGAGAACAAAGATTTAACAGTGAACACTTGAAATCTTGGTACTGTGGAGTGGCAAATAGTGGTATTTACTTTTTCAACATTCAAGACCCTTCTCATTTCCAGGCAATTTGCAGTAGGTATCAAATGTGAGTATGCAGATGGAGTGAATCACCTCCTAACCAGGCTCCCTCATTCCGGTCTGTCCACTCCAGGCCACTCTCTGCAAGTTAGTAATAAAAGGGCTTTTTTGCATTTCTTATGTACTATCTGCTTAAGAATATTCAGTGGCTCTGCATGGCCTAAAGGGTAAGGTCTTGGAATGTAAATATAGGAAAGAACACAGAGAAAAACAGCAAAAAATAACCACCCATAATTTTACAACTTGAAAGTAACATCACAAAAGAAGTAAAAGTATCTCTCCCAGCTTTCTACCACTACCCAGAGAGAGCCTCTAGTAACCATTCCTGTGTTAAATTTTTCTACTGCTTACCATAATTTTAATAATATGTACTTTGTTCTTTTTTTTTTTTTTTTTGGTAGAGACAGGGTCTTGCTATGTTGCCCAGGCTAGTCTTGAACACCTGGCCTCAAGCAATCCTCCCAACCTTGGCCTTGCAAAGTGCTGGGATTACAAGTGTGAGCCACCATGCCTGGCCTGCACATATACTTAAGGAGATTAGAACATTCCTCTCCTTTAACCTTTTCTTTTCCTCCCCGTCTTAAATTTTCAGAGCTATTATTCTTATAGGTTAAAGGTTTATAACATTTACATTCTAATTTGTAAGTATAATTATGTCTTCATTCTTTTTAATAGGTGACTCTATAAATGGAAAATAAAAAAACTTAATTTGTTATGATCATATAAAAGTTATTCACTGTAGAACCTATCATTTGATTTAGTTCATAACAAAGGAAATATGATCTGATGTTATTAAAAATTTGCTACTGGAAGGAGACTCTTTTAAATGAAGCATTCAAATGGATTAAGGAATTTTTTTCTTTTGGTGATATCCTTCAGCACTCTTTCTTGAACCCTGTGAACCTCTTCTTATTTTCCATTTGATTGATTATGTTGAATTATACCTGTAATTTTTGTCATAGGAAATATGGAATTAAATGTCTAAAATTATTTTATTTTGCTCTCATAATTAATAGTTTGATTCTCAAAAATCTTTTTTTTTTTTTGCACAAAACTTAAAGATGTTACCCCTCTTCAGCATTGCTGATATGTCTCATTTTACTTGTGCTTTTGTAGAGACTTTTTTCTCTCTTTGGAGGCTTTTAAAATTTTCTCTTTATCTTGAAGTTCTGAAATTTCACCAAGATATGTCTAGGTATGGTTTAAAAACATTATTTCCCAAAAAGTATTTGGTGGGACCTGCAATCTAAAGATTCCCATCTTTCTTTCATTATTTCTTTATTTTCCCCCCCTGTTTGTGTTTTCTCCTTCTTGCACTATTTTAAACAGATTTTTGAATTTTTAGAGTTAGTCCCTGTTTCAACTTTGCATATAACTTTCAACTCTTTTTTTCAATGACAATCCCTTAGCTTGATTTTTCCAGGTTACTACTTCAGTCTTTAGTTGTGTTCACTCTGCTGTTCAGCCCATATTTTAAGCCGTACTTTTTTTTTTTGATAATCATTTTTGATCTCCCAAAACTGGGATTGCTTCTTTCTCGTAGCAACTATTTCCTTTTAAAAAAAATTCGTATGATATTCTCTTTAATCTCTTTAAGTTTCTTTACTTTGTGTGTTAATTCTATTTGCTTGGGGTTTATTCACCTGTTTGCTATGTTGGTTCCTGTCTTTCAATCTGTTCCCTAACTCCCCAAGGTTTGGAGATTTTGGTTATATTTTCTTATGTGTAGATGAGGGTCTAAACTGAACAGTATTAATAGTTGAAAGAAATTTTCTCAGCCCAAGTGAGACTCCTGATTCCTAACTCGATGATGAATTTAAATTCTAATTAATAAAGCCCTAGATACAATGGTTATGTGTGTGTACATAAAACCACAGACGGGCTGGAGGTTATGTCTTCTGGTTGTGGTGCCTATTTTTTGTGATGGCTGTTTTTTTTTTTGTTTTTTTATTTTATTTTATTTTTTTTTTCAGACTTGAATCAGTGTCAATTGATGGCTGTTTTTTAGCTAAGAAAGAGGGGCTGTTTCCTTATTGAAGTCAGAAGAGGGAAGAAGGCTGTAAAGATACCTACCTTTATTGGATCAAACACAATGTATAACAGAATTCTATCCTGTTGATTTACATTGAAGAATGTAGAAGAAAATTAAAAGAAGTACTGAAAGGCTAGATTAATCTGCAATTAGAAAAATCGTAGAGCTATTCACAGGAGAAGAGATTTCAGAAGCAGGAAGAAGAGAAAAGAGAAACAAGAGCCAGTAGGGGCAGTTAAGAATGTGTTTTAAGGAGGTTGTGGGAGAAGATGTGGAGATTTAGGGGAAGTTGGCTTGACATGTAAGAGATAAAATACATTTCCATTTTTAAAGGAGACTTCAGTAAAGATTTGAATGCCTTTTTGAGATGTGTTTAGTTATCAAACTGGTATTTATTCTGAATGACCTGGTTCTGGAAATTGGCCTGTGGCAGCTTGCCTTTAGAGAAGTAAATATATGTCCATGCTTTCACGATTATACTCTCTTTGTAGGCAGGCACCAGTTCCTATGCCCTCTCGTGCAATGTCATTCTACAGCAGTCTTGCAGTGTCGTCGTAAGTCTAGTTTGGTATGAAGGGGGTTTAGCTGCTGTCTCTGCACTTATGCAAACAGGGCTGGACCATGGTATGTTGGTGCCATAGACAGGCTAGTAATTTGGCACCTTCCCAATATTGATTCAATGTTATTAAGAGAGCAGAAACAATTTAATAAAAATTATACACCTCATTCTCATATTCACAATGAGAGGTTTATTACATGTGATTTTTTTCTACACTAAAACAAAAATCCATAAAAACCAACAAAAACTTAACTTTGCTTAAACTTTAGATAACAAACCAGTTGTTCCCTATAAAAAGCACTCTGCCATGTATTATTTGGGTGCAATGTTTCAGACATCTGTACCTGACAACCCTGGAGAACTGTCAGATGTTTGGTCCCAGAACCATTGGTGTGGTCAAGTGCAAGCTGCCTGAAGACTCACTTGCTAGAGAGCAAGCTTCAAGAGGAACAGTGCCTGGGCTATAGTGAGCATCCAGCAAATATCTGTTGTATGATTGATTGGACAGAGAGTGGAGTTATTTCTTCAGTTATGTAAGGAGCTATCTGTAGGAAACATCAACTAATCAATATCACATTTTCCCATTATTCTACTTATTTTTGTGCTCCGAATAGACTGGCTTCCTGAATAGCTCTCAGTTTGCTCATCCCCAAATCAGGTTCTGTCTATGAGATTTCTCCTTGGAGCACAGTGGAATGCATACTAATCTTTTCTGAGAACTATTAGGCACAGTAGTTATGTAAGCTACTGACTGCACAACATACATTGCAATTCATGTCTGAACATGGGGAAAGCAATAGAATTGACCCAGAGGGAAGAACTGAGCCAAACTCTCATAAATCTAACTGAGATTTCCTCTACCATACTTCTTTTTCTCAGAGTTTAAAGCCAGAAGTGTACTTGGTGTAATAAGAAATGCATGTTTTTCTTAATTTCTTACAGAAACTATATGAAATTTTGGAAACCAACAAGCGAGAAGCTATCAAAGAACTAGGTAGGTAGTTAGAGTATCTGATTTTCTGAAGTCACATCTTATTATCCTATAATTTAACCAAAGGAAGACAAGTTTGTGCTTTCATTCACTTATTCATTTATGCATTCAATAAGTATTTATTGAACACAGGTAATGGGCCAGGTATCGGAAAACAAAGATGAGTAGACCTTAAAGAGTGCAATCTGGTGGAGTGCATGAGAATATCAACAGATAATTGCAGGAAGTTAGAGGAGTCCTATTAGTTGCTATGGGAAAATAGAGAAAACAATGGGAGGAGTGTGGAAAGTGTATTAAGGTAGTAAGGTCGGAGTCCTTAAGGTTGAAAGAAAAAGACTTGTGAAGATTACCTTTGACAAAAGGTTTTTTTGTTTTGTTTCCCCTTTTTGCAAGGATACCCTGGAATGTAGGTTGCAAAGGTTGTCATTCCTTGCGCATCTACAGTCACTCCCCTTTACTTGAAGCACACAGCAGGAGCCCAAGGATTTTATGCGAGGTTCTTGGGTCTTCTTTCCTCATACGGAGTGGGGGCTGTGGGTCAGGCTCTTGGTGTGTCCAAAAGCATCTGGGAGAGGGCCAAGCATATGGTAGGCTCTTAATAAATGGAGGCTATCGGAAAAAAATAAAGTAAAATGACTTTGTACTCATGACCACATTGTAAGATGCCATATGGATTTATGGGGATCATGCTTTCCAATCAAAATGGAAAAAACATGGTCTAATGAATGAAAGTAAATTTGGAGACAGTAGGTCAGAATATTTTGGCACTGTGTCAGAAAATCCAGGACCCACTGTTTTCATTTGCATATTGGCAGATTTTTATTTCTGTGTTCTTAAAGATTAGGGGCCTAGGAACTGTTGCTTTATATTATGTTTTAGATCAGTATGGAGTGTTAAAAAGTTTTCTGGATTCAGTCCTCTAAAAGGGAGTGTCTGGTTCCATATGCTTCTGCAACTGATTATTGAGTGCTTACTATGTCAGGAACTGTTAACTGCTTTATATGCATTATCTCATTTAATCCTTATAATTACTCCATGAGGCAAATATCATTATTAGAGAGGTTGGCTTGCCTGAGGCCATATGGCTAGAAAGTGGTGGGCCAGGTCTCTAGCTCAGGTATTTCTGACACGAAAACCTCTGGATCATTGCTACCTTTCACTTTACTGGTCAGTTATATCAGTTAAAAAATGAGTAAGTACCTTCCATAGGTTGGACATTGTGCCCAATGTTAGGATTACAAAGATGCGACAGATGCAATTTTAACCTTGACTCACAGTCCAGCCCATGCCTTATCAGGTTTATTAAAGTGGAAAGAATATGTGACTTGATCTCAGAAAGACCCTCAGCCAAAGTTCAGAGGCCTTTTCATTCAGTCATTTATTCATCGAACCAATAAAAATGACAAGCCGGGCGCGGTGGCTCACGCCTGTAATCCTAGCACTCTGGGAGGCTGAGGCGGGCAGATTGCTCGAGGTCAGGAGTTCGAAACCAGCCTGAGCAAGAGCAAGACCCCGTCTCTACTATAAATAGAAAGAAATTAATTGGCCAACTGATATATATAGAAAATTAGCCGGGCATGGTGGCGAATGCCTGTAGTCCCAGCTACTCGGGAGGCTGAGGCAGGAGGATCACTTGAGCCCAGGAGTCTGAGGTTGCTGTGAGCTAGGCTGACGCCATGGCACTCACTCTAGCCTGGTCAACAAGCGAGACTCTGTCTCAAAAAAAAAAAAAAAAAAAAGACATAATATGGAGGATGAGACTGATAAGTAAAAAATAGTAATTCTGCAGTGTAATGAGTTCCACAATAGAGATTTGGAGGAGATGTCATGGGAATAAGGCAGAAAGATTGATTTTCTCGTAGCTGGTGGGGGAAGTCAGTTTTCAATTTTTTCATCCATAAAATGGAGATGAAAATAACTGTAGTCCTACTGGCCTCGTGAGTTCTGTGTGAAACTAGAATAAAAGGCTATTGTGTAAATACTTTGGAAATTTTAAACTGTTATTGTGGTTATTGGATGGGTTACCTACTGAATTTTATCTGCTTCAGGACTCATAGAGCATGAGGGTCGTGATGTTGTCATTGCTTTGAAGACTAAGCAGGCAATCCGGAATGTGATTTCTAAATCTCTGAAAAATCTCACCTTCCTTTGCTCAAGAGGCATTATTGATAAATATGAGGGCATCGAGATGAATAAGGTAACCAAGAAATTTCCCATTTTGCTCAAATTCCATCAGCTGAACAGCCCAGCCTGCACTGTTACTTTAGCAGAGCGTAATGAGAAGGGAGATTGGAAAAAAGTGCCTAACCACAGGTGTTAACTCTGCGAGTGCCTGCAGACGCTGATAATGCCCGTGGCAACCAATGCCAGAGCTACCTGATGCATTCCATTAGTCAGAATTACTTGGTTGCAAGTAACAAAAACGACCTTGAGCTAAGTTTAGTAAATAAATGGGGATAGAGGATTTGTTTAAAGGACACAGAGTATCTTACAGAGCCCACAATAGCCAGGCCCTGTGGCCAGGCCGCAGAAAGAGACTTAAAATGAGGACCTAGAAAGGTTTCCAGATTCTTCATTTCCTATCAGCATGGCCCTCTGTGGCATCTTCCTTTGGCTCCCTCTATAGGCTCACTAGATTTTTCTGCTTTTCCATCAACTGCTGGAATATGTGCTGCCCAATCCCACTTACTGTGCCAAAGGAGGTGGGCATCACATGATATTTACATGGTGGGGAGGGGACCAACCAGGTGTGTGTGTGTGTTGGTGGAGGCCAGGGAAGGGGAAGTTCTGAGAGAAGAGGAGCAGGGAAGATACCCTAATTAGCTAATAAATGGACTTCTGAAATATTATAAATGTATTTGCAAACAAATTAGGAACTTGAGATGGGGGGAGAGATGGAAAGGCATGTTCAGTCCTACAACTCTATTCAAGACTGTATTTGTGCAAAATAAGAGTGCTCTTTCTACTCCCGTGCAAGTGTCTGCTTCCTAACATACAGCAGAAAGGTGGAAGTTCTGGTCCTGCATTCCATCTGTGTTGCCCACGGATACACTGTTACTGGAAGTTGCATGTTCTTCCTTGCCACAGGCAGCTCCCAGCTATGGGCCGTCATGCTCTGTGCTTCTAGTCTTTCCCGGGACATAGTCCCTCTCCATGACCCTAGAAGGGAAATGAATGTGGGATAGGCCAGCTTTGCCCTTTAAGGCTTTATCTCTTTTATTTCTCTAACGTCACAGGAAAGGACTAAATGGGTAATATGACTTAATGTCTTAATGAGGGAAAAAAAGGGCTACTATAGAACATTCTTCAAGTCATGTCTCCACACATACTGTGTATTGCATTCCATTTTTTTCATTTATCCCTTTGGAAGCTGTGTAAGACAAATGCTTGATGCCCATTAATTAAGGTAAATAAGTAATAGCCCGTATGAGGAAAGAAACTAATTTTTCCCTATAGGTTTACTCAGAGAGGTAACGGGTAAATTAAATCTTCCAACAGTTACTTATTGAATGCCTACTAATTCATTGCCTAATTGTCAGCAAAAGGGATATAATTATCTATACCAGGTCATACGGAAATAGGAACATCTATTCAATTCAATTGAGCAAATATATGTTGGATACCTACTAAGTGCTGTGGACTGTTGAGGAAATTGGGATATTTACTACACCACTGACCCCAAAGTCCATGGGCGTTTCCTTGTTGTATCATTTAATCACTTGTTCATCCAACCAACAAAAGTTATGTAATATGTAGGATGAGACATATAATTAAATTAATAATAATACATGTGATGATTCCATCATGGAGATACATAGGCAATGCTATAGGAATAAAGGATATAAAATGATTTACTCTCACCTTGTGGGGGAAGCCAGAGAAGGCTTCTTCTCAGAGGCCTCAAGGTTGGAACTGTATCCTCCAAAATTAGGACTTAGAGAAGCAAATCATACACATAAAGAAAAAACGAGAGAACATGGCATTAAAGAGTACAGCAATCAACTATAAAGTTTAGAAAATTTGATATTGAGATAGGGTAAGTGTTAACCAGATTATAAAGATGATAGATTCAATCTGAGTTAATAAATCAGTGAGAATAGTAATAAGGCAGAGAATAGAGACAAAAAAGGGTTACAGGAATATAAATAGGGTGAGAGAAGCTGTGAGTCAAAAATCAAGGTTACATTTGCCTAACAGTAGTTTATTTAGCTTTTCTTAGTTTTTGCCTCGTGTCACTTTTCTGTTACAGGAGCTGATAATCATTATTTTGTTTGTTTTTAGGTACTTCTTACAAAAATAAAAGCACTGAATAACTTTCCAATGGCAATCCCTCCCCCTACTCCTGACAAATACCTTTATAACATCATTTGGTTGGAAAATAAAGATGTTCTCATTGAATTCTTCAAGGTAAAGATTCTGTCTTCTTTTCTGGCTCAGATTTTATTATAATTGTTTTCCATTTTTCCACTTCCTAATGCAAGATTAGCAGAAAAGCATATTGAAAGCATGAATCCCGTGCTGGCCAATTCAGGGTAAGCCAAAACAGAGGCCTGGCAGAGCCCAGAGGAAGAATTGATTTCTTTTTGAGCCTAAAGGGCAAAGATAGTTTTTCCACAATGGCTTATCTGCTTAGGATGAGCTTTCTATGTTTCCTGATTATTACTAATCCCATTCTGTTTTATGTTGTGGAGTTCTGGACTTCTAGATACATACTGTGGAAGAGACTTTTTTTTTAAACAAGGGCCTCAAATTTAAATTATTGTACAGGCCAGGCAGATAAAATTAAAACCAAAGGGGTGAAGTATAATAGGGAATAGTAAGAACTGTAGTGTATTTAAGTTCATGCTCTGTCCAAAGTTAGCTGAGTGTTGCTACAGGAATTTGGACTCTTTTTCAACAAATATCGATTGCATATTATCTGTGAACCAGAGACCATGCTAGGTTTTGGGATAGGGCAGTGAACAAAATAAATGAAGTCCCTACTTTCACAAGCCTTGTATTATATGGATGGAGATAGACAATAAACACAGCAAACACCAAACACATAAATATATAATCTATCTGATGGCAATAAGTGCTGTGGAGAAGAATAAGGTGAGAAAAGGGAATATGGTGGAGCAGCCATTTTCTATGGAGTGGTCAGGGAAGGCTTCTGTAATAAGGTGACATTTGAAGAGATCTGAAAGAAGTGAGGGAGCAAACCATGGAGATGTGTTGGAGAAGAGAACTCCAGGCAAAGCAAACAGCAAGGACAAAGCCCTGAGAGAGGGTGTGCCTGGCGTGTTGAAGGAGCATCACAAAGGCCCCAATGGCGAGAGCAGAGACGCAGGGAGTGAATGATGTCAGGGCAGTTGCAAGATGCCTGATGAGCATCATGACCCTTTGGGGGCCCTTGGCACTTTGCTTTAGTGAGCCTCTTTCTTCATTAAAAAGTACTAAAAATTATACTTTATGACTGTGTTAGTATAAAGATGAATATGTTGGCATTATGTATTAAAATATTTCTTTACCTAAAAATTTCCCCTTCCTTCAGATTTTAAAAGACATTAAAACATTGTTGTGAGAGCCTAAAAGTATTGTGGAGACTAGACACTGTGCCAACTGATGCCTAATGGGTAACTTAGCCCTGATGTCCACCCACCCCCCTGCCTGAGACATATGGAATCTTTTGCAGTTACCCTAACGGCAGACATTCTATTTGCTTCTGAGATTTTACATCTTCTGCCCTGAATCATCATCTTCTGAATCTTCTGCACTGAATGGTCTTCAATTAATGTCATCCTGGGTATCTGCTATTCTTCTTTCAGGCCTCGGCTTAGCTGTCCCTTCCTCTATAAAGGCCTCACAGAACAAACAAGACAGGGTCCTGTGATTTTTCTGCATTTTTTATTGTGCACTGTCCCTCTGTCCTGTTATAGTTATCACACTTCATTGTAAATATCTATCCAACATAACTAAAATTTCTTCTGAAGGCAGGCAATTTGTTTATAACCCAAGTCCTAAATAGGGGCCAGAATAAAAAGGTTTTCCTTTGTTAATTCGCTCATTCATTCTATAAACCGTTACTGGGTGTTTATATCAGTTACTGAGCTGGTTACTAATCACAAAGTCAACAGTTTGTATGCTTGTCCCTTTTTTACTAAAAATTGATGTTGTATGTGAGAATGTTATAATTTATTAGTAAACCAAGAATATAGTTTGTATTTTTATGCTACTTGAAAACCATTTTTAGGTTTAAAATCTTATTTATATTTTAAAAAGTAGACTATGAACCTTTTGCATTGACTTTCCTTTTCTTTTCCTTTTTTTCATTCAGGATAGAGCCAAACTTGCTTATTTTGACTATGGAGATGTCATTTGTAAAGAAGGTGAAATGCCACAAGGAATCTACTTAATTATTTCAGGAATGGCAATTGTAAGGGGCTATTCATTTTTTTACTTAAAATATATTTTTGAAATATGTAATTGTAAAATAAGGAGAAATTTAGATTTTTAACAATCTCTTTTCCACATGAAAATATTTCTGCTTGAAGTGAGCACTACAGCTGAGATATAATAATAATACTCAATACCTGAAATATGCTTCCCATTTACAAAATACTGGCCTAGCCATTACTTATTCCTATTCCTCCAACAATCAGGGGAGGAAGCAATATTTCTCAGGATGTTCACACAAGGAAACCAATACTTGGAGTGGTTTAACTCACCTAAAGGCAATGATAGTCCAAGAATGAGGAAGTGGGCTGAAAAGTCAGATCCTTCATAGGTAAGTAGGATGAGGATCAAAAATATAACTTTTAATTAGATAACAACATGGCAGTAGTAAGTCCTTATCTATCAATAACAACATTGCAGGTAAATGGACTAAAGTCTCTTATCAAAAGACATGGAAGGGCCAAATGGATAAAAACACAAGACCCAGAGAGATCAACCAAAATGGCTGAGTAGAAACATCGCTTGTCAGATCATCCCAGCTGGAAGGTAGAATGTTGGACTGAGGAAAGCAGAGAGCAGTTGCAGCTCAGGTGTGGGTCATAGACAGAGGCAACAGAGACATCTGGGGACTCAACTGAGAAAAACTGCAAAGCTGAGAAAGAAGAAGACAGTGGTCTAAACTAAACCCAGAGAGGCTCGGAGCCCAGTGAAAGGGTAAGGGGGGTTTCCCCTGCCCTACCTAGCTACCTTCAGTGAACAGCGGGACACAAAACATATTGGAGGCGTGTTCAGCCTCCACAAACCCAGGTATGGTGGTTAAATAAAAATAGCAAGGTGAACCAGTGAACCCCAGGAGTGAGGGTGTTCCAAAGGGACACTTCATGGGAGAGTGCCATGAGAGACTGGAATGCCAACTTTCTTACACCTAGACACCTCTTCCTCTGCACCTCCTCCAATCATAGCATCGGAGAAAGTAATTTTAGCTCAGGCCGCTAGTAGCCACAGGCCCTTCCCCCCCATTGCAACGGTGAGAATACTCTGAACTGAGAAGCACACGAATAGCTAGTTGCTACGGTGGGTGTGCATTCCTGGCTGAGCCCACTAGACAGTGGGGCCACCACAATTTGCAAGCTTCCTTCCCACTGGCGTTTTGCGGGATTGTGCACTTAGACAGGTGGGCTGGACCTGGTGCCTCCAAGACAAGAGGGTGATACAGGGAGATGTAGAGGAGTGGTCTTGGTCCTAGACTTGGGTAGCAAGGAAGCCCTTATGAACATTTCCAACAGAAGAGTGTGGAGGGGCTCTGAGGAATGTGGATCTATGAGCACACCCATCCTTTACCCTGACTGGAGAACCTCCATATTGGATAGAGGCATGGCATATGCTAGTGAACAAGTGTGGAAAGAGCCTGGCCTTGGCCTTAGCACTCAAGTGATTAGGCCTCTCCCTTGGGAACAGCCTTCCCGGCTTGCAGACATTACCCTGAACTCCATACAAGCGGTGGCTTCTAGTGGCCAGATAAGCAACCTCTGAGCACCCCCTGAGGCTTTGCAAAGCCTCTCAGGCTCTCTGCAATCCAGCCACGATTTGTCTTGCTCTTCTCCTCACCTCAGGGGGAGTAGGAATCAAGCAACCCTCTGGGAGCTACAGGATCCCTCCTAAAGCTTTGGGTAACTGTATGCCCCACCTGGGGGACCAGAGCTTACCACGGGCACAAAACACCATCCCAGAATCTGGCTCTTCCACACAAACTTCAACCAATGATGGGAGAACAGCCTCATAGCTAAGTATAGCACCTTCCAAGTTAAGCAAACAGGGAGTGGCTGATTTGTACTCACAAATACCACCCACCATCTCAGAGATTAAGCTGGTTTACCTAATTCACTACATACTGTTGGGAAGAGGTGAAGACAACAGGTCAGAGGTAAATTGAGAGGTTCATCAAACATGCTAGAATACCCTATAGGCAGCTCAGTACCAGCACTCCTCTCCCTGGCATGCTCAGGGATCAATCTTTAGGGACGCAGAGAGAGGCCTGTAAACCAGGCCTAGCACCCCCAGGTATTGACTGAGAGGCCAGATGAGAAGGAATCAATGAAAGAACTCTGAAAACATGATAAATAAGAACAAAAGAAATCAATAACTCCTTATCAATGGTTATCAACCAAAATGAAAAGATTGAAATGACAGATGAAGAATTTGAATATGGATTGTAAAGAAGCTGAGTGAAACACAAGAGAAAATAAAGACCCAATGCAAAGAAACCACAAAAACAATGCAGGAAATGAATGAAAATTTCACTTAAAAAATTGAATTATTAAAAAAAATCAAGCAAAACTTCTAAAAATGAAAAATTCACCCAAGGAAATAGAAAACGTGGTGGAAAGCCTTAAGAGTATGCTACATCAGGCAGAAGAAAGAATGTCAGAGCTTGAAGAAAACACCTTTGAGTTAAACACGTCAGTCAAAAAGAAAGAACAGAGACTAAGAGGAACAAACAAAGCCTACAAGAAACATTGGATTATGTAAAGAGGCCTAACATAAGAATCATAGACATCCCTGAAGCTGAAGAAGGAAATGCATGAAGGTTGGAAAACCTATTTGGGGGGAATAATTGAGGAAAATTTCCCTGGCCTTGCTGGAAATCTAGATCTCCAGGTACAAGAAGCTTAACCATTTGCACTCGCTTGCTTTTTTCTCTTGCTGCTACCGATGCTAACTGTGTCGAGTCACACTCGACATCTGAGTGCAAAGGGTTAAAGGACTCCTGGGAGATTCATCGTGAAGAGGCAATCACCACCAACATATAGTCATCAGATTGGCCAACATAAACACAAAGGAGGCACTCCTTCCAGCTGTAAGATGAAAGTGTCAGGTAACTTACAAAGGAAAACCCATCAGCCTAACTGCAGACTTCTCAACTGAGACCTTACAAGCCAGAAGGGATTGGGTCCCCATCTCAGTCTTCTCAAACAGAATAATGACCAGCCTAGAATTTTGTATCCTACAAAACTAAGTTTCTTATAGGAGGGAGAAATAAAGACTTTCTCAGATAAGCAAATACTGAGGGCATTTGTCAAGACTAGACCTGTCCTGCAGGAAGTTCTCAGAACTATATTGTACATGTATCAGTACAATAGACACCCACCAGTGTCAAATCACCCAAAAGCTGAAGTTCAGAGCCCAGATATCACAATGGCTCAAGAGGTAAAACAAAGCAATAACGTTCTACTCAACAGGATGAACAGAAACCCATCCCACTTATCCTTTCAATAAAATGTGAATGGCTTCAACTCACCACTGAAGAGACATAGGCTGGCTGAATGGATAAAAAAATACAAGCCAAATATCTGCTGTCTCCAGGAAACACATCTAACCCACAAGGACTTATTCAGATTCAGGGTGAAGGAGTGGAAAACAATATTGCATGCAAATAGAAACCAACAGAAAGCTGGTGTGGCCATTCTCATATCAGATAACACAGCCTTCAAATCAACAAAAGTAAAGAAAGACAAATATGGTGAAGGGAAACAATTCAACAAGAAGACTTCACAATCTTAATTATTTATGCACCTAACATAGGCATACCCAGATTCATAAAGCAAATCTTACTAGATCTAAACAAAATGACAAACAGCAGCATTGTAATAGCTGGAGATTTTAACACCCCACTGACAGAATGGGACAGATCCTCCAAGCAGAAAATAAACAAAGAAACAATGAACTTAAATGGGATTCTAGAACACATGAGCCTAATAGACATTTATAGAACATTCTACCTGAAAACTACTGAATATAAGTTCTTCTCATCAGCTCATGGAACATTTTTGAACCCACGTACTCTGCCTCCATTATCCATATGCTTAGCCACTATGCAATACTCCCATTAGAATCCAAACAAAAATATGCTGCTACCAATATTTATGAAATATGTCAAATCAAATACTTAAAAGATGCAACATACTTCATATGTTCTTTTGGGGAATTTTCCTGCAATGGCTGGACTAGCTAAGTCTGCTTAACCACTTCGGTACCAGCATCAACTATAGTTGACAGCCACAGATGAACGCGCACAGCAACTTTAGCCGACAGTCGTGATATGACTTTTCTAATTTTTCATTTATCAAAATAAAATTGTGAACGTTTAAATATAACATAATGAAAACATATATGTATATGTTTCCTATTCTGATTTACATTACAAATAAAGCTGCCTGTAAAGTAAAACAAGCTTTCAGTGCTTTCAAGCTTTCCTCATCACACAAGGGCAAAACGAATTCGACGTCAATGCACAGCACAAACTATCCTGCAGACTATGAGTACCGGCTGTGGACAAGGTTTTGTGGCCAGTGAGTGTGGTACTGAAGTGGTTAAAACGTAAATTCAATGCTATTTGGTCTGAAGAGGTTATGTTAGTACTTTACTGATGCTATAACAAATTACCACAAATTTAGCAGCTTAGATCCATTATCTTATGGTTCTACAGGTCAGAAGTCTGGTGGGCTCTGCTAGCTTATCTGTTTGGGTGCTCGCAATGTTGAAATTAAGGAGTCAGTAGGGCTGCATTCCCTTCTGGAAGCTCTGGGATCAGAATCTGTTTCCAGGCTCATGGAGGTTGTTGGCAAAATCTTATAGCTATAGGACAGAAGCCCTTGCTTCTTTGCAGGCTGTCAGCTGGGGACCACCTTGAGCTCCTAGAGCTCCTCTTTGGTCCTTGCGTGCAGCCCTCACATCTCAGAACAAGCAAAGGCATGTGGAATCCTTCTCAAGCTGCCCCGTCTCTCTCACGGGCTCTTTTGCCTTCCTCTTTTACTTTCAAGGGCTCATGTGATTATGGTGGGTCCACCAGAATAATCCAAGATCATCTCTTTAACCACTTCGGTTCGGCGCTCACTGGCCGCGATACCTCGCCCACAGCCAGCACTCACAGTCCGCACAATAGTCTGTGCTGTGCATTGACGATGGATCTGTTTTGCTCTTGTATGATGAGGAAAGCTTGAAAGCACTGAAAGCTTGTTTTACTTTACAGGCAGCTTTACTTGTAATGTAAATCAGAATAGGTAACATATACATATATGTTTTCATTACGTGATTTTTAAATGTTCACAATTTTATTTTGGTAAATGAAAAATTAGAAAAGTCCTATCATGGCTGTCGGCTAAAGTCGGTGTGTGTGTTCATCTGTGGCCATTGACTATAGTCGACACTGGTACCAAAGTGGTTAAGGCCAGCTGATTAGTAACCTTAATTCCATCAGCAAAGTCCCTTCATTGCAGTACTTAAGATTAGTATTTGATTGAATAGCAGACAGGAATCTTGGGGGACTTCCTTAGAATGCTGCCTACCACAGATGTCATCTTCTTTTCTTGGTTTGTAATGAACAGAGACATTCTTCATTGCTTATAGGTCATTTGAACTGCATTCACAATTAGGGTGGAGGAGGAAAGGGGTATATGCTTTCATAATGTGTGTGGTGCACACCACTGGGGGATTGGACACATTGGGGGGAGGGGGAGGCAGGGGCAATATTTGTAACCCTAACAATATGTGTAGCTCCATAATATGATGAAATAAAAGGAAAAACAAAACAAAATTAGGGCCACTTAAAAAAATTCAAACTCCTTTGGAAACATGAATGCTTCTAAAAGTCTGAATGTTAATCACTACTAGGAGAGGGTGACCTTTTGTTCCCTGTTTCCTGTGTCCTTAACCATAGCCTTCCTCTTTGATGTTTACAGCTAAACTTTCTAGAAAATTCCATAATTCTTCTCCTCTTGATTCTTGCAGCTTCCCCCTGAAATCTGACATCTCTCCTCTTTCTCCATCCACTACTACCAGTTCTCTTCCTGAAGTACCTTGAGCATCCTATGTTCATCCTAAAACCTTTTCCTTTTGATATTTCATGGTAATTATTCTTAAGCCTTTAAAAGAGAGACTAGGCTTTTACTGAAATCATGGCTTGGTTTGGAAGCATATTAATTCACAATATCTGATTTATGTGCCCATGCAGTCAAAAGTGATTTGCCACCTGAGGCATCAGCCCAGGTAGACTCAGAGTGGGTCTGCAATGGTTGCCGACTAGAATTACCAGTTTTGGAGGGATTTTTATATGAGACAGTTATAAGTACAAAGTTGTAAATAGGGGTCACTTACAACTAAATTGGAAATTTATAACTAAAGATTGGAAACAAATCCTTGCCCTGGGGAGTTGAAATGTGAAAGAAACTGTGATTTTTTTAACAGCCTAATTCTTCCTTCACACCTGATAGGATTCATGAAGAATCTTTGCCTTCCATTAGAATAACTGTAAGAAATAGTGGAGGCTCCTACAGTTTGATCAAAGGGTTTTACAGTTTTTATTTCCATTTGCACATTTTTCCCCTTTTGCAGTTGCATAGTTTACCTCCTACCTTTGGAATAGAGAGTAGCCTAATGCCTGCTAGAGAGTCCAAAGCCATGTTTACAGAGTACTGTACTAGCGGGGACATAATCGGAGAGTTGAGCTGCCTGCTTAAGCGTGAAATTGAATATACTGTCATTTGTGAAACAATTTTAGAGGTAAGAAAATGGTTCTGTCATGGGTAATTATTTATTCCTCAAGTAAATTAAAAATGCCAGCATCTTTTCTTCCTCTGGGTTCTGATATCTTATTTAGTCACACAACCAGCTATTGGAGGCAGCATAGTCTATCCGAAAGAAGGCAGATTTAGGGTCTCACATGCCAAGCTCTACTACATGCTCCCATGGGACCTGGAACGTTATTTAACCTCCTCAAGTCTTAATGTCCTTATTTATTAAGTAGAGAGAGTACCTACCTACCTTTTGATGTTATGAGTGTTAGGAAAATACCTTTGTAAAATGCCTGACACATATAGGTGCTCAAAAAATGGCCACCATCACAGGAGGAGGGTTTTTAAAGAGTATTTCTTTGTTTTGAAAGTTCCTTTCTTCTATTTTTTCCATTGCTAAGTAATAAGTTATCTATTTAGCACATAAGTGGCCTGACATTCCACTAGGTGTTGGGAATTCAAATAGATAGGAGCTAAAGTTCCTACTGCAAAGAATTCTCAATCTTTTGGGACTATTCGATGCAACAGAGCAGGATCCATAGTCTTAGGGGTGTGTGGAGTAGAAGGCAATGTTATCTTAGCCATTTCATACCATTTCATTTCCAGAAGAGTATAGAAGGCATGAATCTAGTCACAAGGCTGAATTGAATGAATTAAAGTTCATTTAATTTGAATTCTGAACAAGTAGTCTTCTTTTTCATTCAGGTAAACAGTTTGCCTCTGGAAACAAATACTATGCCCACTGTACCTACTGTAAAAGAATAGACTGTTTCTGTGTTGAAGGTCCTGAAACCTCGGCTCAGGAGCCATATCCTTCGTTGTACCTGTCGACTGATACAAATTTTCCTGGTCTATTTTTTTTTTGGTATTGCTGTTGTTAAGTGAAACTGGTCTATTATTAAGTTTATAACTTTAATTGGACCATAACTTTATCATCTTATACATAGCAAACAACCTTTTCCACAACACGGATGCTTTAAAATGGCAGAGTATCACAATTATGCTAGAATTGACAGTTTTCCAAGAGGCAAGATGAAAATTAGATCGGCAGGCATGTTGTTTTTCGTTGGTCTTATAATTTAGTTCCAAATTGAGCTGCTGTGACCTGGTGTCTTGTTTCAGGCCTGCTTTATCTCCCTGGAGGATTTATATGAAGGCTTTGATGTCTTCTGGCCATCCCTGGAATATAAAATATGGCTAAAGTTTGCTCTCAGTACTGCCTATCAGTATTTTGAATCAAGTCTCATTGGTGAGGTAAGTTAGATGATTAAAATACGAATGAATTGAATTTTTATGTACTGTATTTTTTTTTTTTTTACAAAATGCATTTCATGTTTTTGAAACAAGGATAGAAAGGAAGACTGTGTCTCATTTTCTAGAATGAGATTACTAGAATTTGACCACTCTCTTCTCCCAACTTCCTACAGATTTTCGGTCTTCTTGTCACAGCTAATTTTCCCAGACTATTTGCAATCCTCCCCTAAAACCATAAAAAGTACTTTTAATACTTTTAATATTCAGCAAATATTAAATAGATAGATTCTCCCAGAGCTAAGCATAGCATTAGTCAGAATATGTTACTGCACACTCAATCTGGTTTGTATTGTAGTCCACTTTACCTTCGTTATTAGAAATTTCTGGCCTTTGTTGAGGTGACTGAATCTCTTCCATGAACCTTCCTTCCAAAGAGTAGTGGTTCAACTCTGTCCCTGGACTGGCACAGTTTACAATCCCACATTTGTATGCTATTTAATATTAATAATTATTCAGACCCCTACTATGAGTCAGGAAGTGGGAAAGTGACAGACCTGAAGTTCAACAATATTCACTGAAATAAGAGGCTGGACATAAACGTTGAAATTCAAAAGTTAGTATGTCATACAAGCCAGTCAGGTATTTTTTAAACTTTTATTTATTTATTTTTTTTACTATGTGGCAATAATGACTTTCAGAAAAATTTTACTGGAGGGGTAAGAGGATTGAAACTCTTCCTTTTACTTTGCCTCTTCATGAGAAGTAGGACAAATTCAGGGTCGTATGAAACCCAGAATAGAGAATTAGGACCAACGGGTTGAAACTATATGGAGTCAGGTTTGACTCAATAATATGGTGAAAATCCTTTGCAATTTTTTTTTTAATTCACAAGCAACACATTCATTATGTAAATGAGAAAATACAAATATAAAATATTAAAAATAATAATAACCTTCTGCCCCCAATTTTACTCCCCAGAGAATTTCTATTTAATACTTTGGCTTATTTCACTCCAGTATTTTTTCATTAAAGAACTAGCCAATTAAGACTTTTTAGAACAACATCCAGGCACTAATAAGATTGTTATCTCTTTCCCATTCTAAAACCACAGAACTGAAAAGGTACATGCACTTAAAAACCAAACTAAAATAGCTTATTTTTAGATTTTCCCGTTGCTCATTTTCTTATGTTTGGTACACCCTCAGCAAGTAGGTGTTTGATTTGCCTGTCAGTGACTGAGATTCAAGAACTGGCTTGTGTAGTTGTGCACTTTTTGGGGCTGGAAATGTTCAGACTGAGCTGACAGCCCCTGTCAGAGCACTGGCCAGGAAATTCCTACCATTGGACTGACCTCTAAGCTCCTCTGTTACTGTGCTAGCACTGCTGTGACAAAGTACCACACACTGGGTGGCTTAAATAACAGAAATTTATTGTCTCACAGTTCTGGACGCTAGAAATCTGAAACCACAGTGTTGGCAGTGTTAGTTTCTACCAAGAGGCTGTGAGGGAGAATTAGGTCCAAGCCTCCCTCCTTAGCTTGTAAAATGGCTAAGTGGCACTTTCAGTGGTGTTCACCCTGTATGCAAGTCCTTGTCCATATTTCCCCTTTTTACAAGGACACTAGTCCTTTGAAATAGGGGCCCACCCTACTCTGGCATGACTTCATCTTAACTAATTGCAACTGCAATGACCCTGTTTCCATATGAGGTCACAGTCTGAGGTAGTGTGAGTTAGGACTACAACATAAGAATTTGGGGTGGGCGGCGGAACACAATTCAACCCACAACAACTCCCTTCCAGTTCTAAAGTCCATGATTCTGAGCCTTGAAGTGTAGTTCAGACTTGGTGCCTTGCTTTGTTTTGTGTTGGCGTTTTGTTATTGTTTGTGCACTTGTCAAGTGGGATGTTTGCTTACTGCTGGGTAAAACCTCTGAAGCTTTAAGACTCTGGTTCTCATGCAAAGAGAAATCCACTGAGGCATAGCTGACCACCCTGCTGTGGCTGACTGAGAGCTCACAAATCAGGGTCATGACACGGTAACAACAGAAAAGCTTTGAATTCAGAAACTTGACCATTTTAAACTCTAAATAAATTCTGTCTATTGGTACCAGGGTCCATGTGCCTCCTGATATCTTTAAATATTTCAGATAGATCAGTGAATCTGCTTTCTTCTGTGTCAGTTTGTATGATTTATAGAAAAAATGTAATTTTATTATAGGACTTAAATTTTCAGAAGTGTGTGTCATTAAATCGCGCATATGTGGAGACTTTATCAAGCTGTAATGAAATGACTATTAATAATGTGACCATGAAATTTGTTATTATTGTGTATGGCAGTGTAATTGATACTAACACGGAGGAACCATATTTTGCACCTTGCATTATACCTAAAACCTGTGAGCAGGTAAGGAGTATAATTTCTAAAGAGTTCTTTGCTTTTCAGGGTGCCCCATAAATGACTTTAAAATTCAACTGACCACCTTAAAAATAAATTAAACCTGTATAGAATCTGAAGTTCTTAGCTGCCTTTAATAAAAATGAAAATGTGCCCAGGGATTGTGTGTACTGTAGTACAGGTGCCCTACACAAGGGTGTGCCTGAGGGGCAAGGGGGCTGGAATCTGCCTGCTTTCCGCTTGCCAAGCCATTTGCCCTGGCGTGGAGCTGTGCCTTCCCAGAGGAAGGACGGGATGCAATGCGTTTTTCCTAGTTCCCACCTAGGCAATGATGCCGTATTCTAGGTGGCTCTGGAAGCATCTGCACTGACTGATGGGAAGGGAGTCGAGTGGGGCTACAGCACTTTGTTGCCATGTGAGTGGCTGCGGGTACGACTTGATAGTAGGCCCTGGGCCCTGACCTCGTCGTTCCATGCTTCTGTGAGGAGGCGGAAGTGTGAACCTAGGACATAACAGGGCAAGGGGAGGATAAAAGCAAGGTCCCTAATGGGCCAACCCACCCGCTACTGGCCCACAGAGGTGACAGGAGGGTGGCACCCAGGAATGGGGAGGATCAAGAGTCCGGGAGAAAAGGTGACATCTCTCTACTCTGATAGTAAGTTTCTCCCCTTTCTGCCTGTTCAGACTGAAAGGGCATTCACTAAATGAAGCTTTATGTCCTGGAAAAGTTGGTAAACCTAAAAAGTGAATTTGCCTCTTTCATAACATTCTTATTTCGTCCCTTTCAACAATTCAGAGGATGAGAGTAATTTAAATATTTTTAATGGCAGATGAAATGACGGGTGGAGGTAAGCGGCAAGGGGCCTACAGTTGAGTTTGTTAAGAGACCAGGGTTTGGAGTCAGGCACGCTTAGACTTAAACCTGATTCCCATTCCTATGTAGAGCATGAGCACAGGCAAGCTGCTTAACCTGTCAGACCCTCACTTTCTTCCTCAGTAAGATGGGGTAATGACGCAGCCATCTCATGGGGTCATTATGAGAATTAAATGAGATAATATGCGACATCTAGAAATGAGTTATAATTACTACTTGTCTGCTCCTGGGCCTTCTGAGAGCCAGATTTTGTGCATGTGGGATGAAAGCTCTAAGGAAGGAAGACAGTCCTGCCCTCCTGGGAAGGCTGGGCCTTGAGCCCTTGGGCATCAATGTGGGAATACAAGCACCTCATTGCGTGCTGGGCATTCCTTGCTTTCCAAACTGGGATTTCCTGTCTAGTTACAAGTAAGATGTAGAAATTTCCTCTCTGGTGTCTATAAGTATGCAACAACAAAACAAGTATGCTGATCTAAGACTTTTTGAAACAACATCAAAGAAGATTTGAAATAAAAAAGATACAGCCTAGGTTGAAGACTCAGTTCTATGCTTTGGCTTATTTCTTACATTCTTTGGAAAGGTTGAGAAGCAGCTATGTTAGAGATCAAAGAATGCTCTTTAGACTAGTTTTGACTTTTTTCCTCTAGGTTCAAGGAACTTCTGACTTAAGCAAGCTGCTGATAATCCAAGCATCTGAGCCTTCCAAAAATAATAATGCCACCAACATCATGGGTAAGGGATTGCCCTTTAACAGTAGGAAAACTATCAAGAAGGAACTTTAATACATGAAAAATTCATTTAATTCTAAGAAAGTGATTTGCAAGGGTATTGTGTGGGCTTTCCATTAGTCCTCATCCTTGGGCCCACCCTGGCTGCCACATTGCTGCTGGGAGACTTATCAGAGACTTCCAGACACTGAAATCCAGGTGGCTCCTTCCTCTCCCATATCCCTCCCTCCATACATGTGACAGGGGAGAGAGCAGCTTCTATGCTGCAGTCTGTTCCTGCCCTGGTAGGCTGCAGCCACATAGTGCCGTTGGGGGCGGTGCAGGAAGTGGGAGGGGATGGACTCGCTCATAGTGGGCCCAGGTGTGGGGAACTGGTTTGCTCCCGGCAACCAAAGGGAATATGGAACCTGACCCAGGCTCCAAATCATGGTCACAGCTGTGAGTCAAACGACTTGGCTTAGGTACACTCTGATAAATGTTTATTAGCCCCCAGTTGCATGCATCATGGTGCTAAGCATGATACAAAGAAGACTCGATAAGAAGGCCTTGCTTTACAGAAAACACACTCAAGATCTTTTATTCCATGCTCAGCCTGATATCAACATTCTCCCAGCTGCCCCAGCTTGAATACACAGTCATCTTGATTTGTGATTCTAATCTGCACCATCCCGGTTGTTTACAATTCATGTGATCCACCAGCTTAGATATTTTGCAATTCTTAATGGTAATCTGGGGGGAGGATTTACATGATTTCAAATTTGGTACAAAAAGTGAGATTTTATTAATATTTTCTATCTCACGATTTCTCATTTGCATAATTTTAATAAAATGCAGCCCCACTGTGTGCTGGGCACTGTGCCAAGTGCTAGTTGGTGAATAAGCCAGACAAGGTTTCTATCCTCATGAGGAGGAGAGATAGACATTAAATAAGTAATTATGCTTTTCCTTTATCAGCAATTTGAATCTCAGACATTCTCATGTCTCCTTTCCACCTCCTGTTCTGGGGTTGTATGTGGCACCATGATTTATGGGGCCTCCTCTGCTAACTAGGTCACCTGTCTAAGTTGGCCAGCACCGAGATAACCATCTCCCCAGCTCACAAAGCCTCTTTAGGTCTGCCACTCGGCTGCTTCCAAACCACCTGGGGGCACAGGAGTCTATGGCAAGGCTGGGAGCTCAGGGCCTACTGTCTCCCCCTCGGGGCACCCTGAGGGCTACTGAGTCAGAGATTGTAAGCACTGCTAGGAAGCAGGGCACAGGTCCCTACTGTTCTTGGGTTTATAGGCCTTTCCTCTTCCTCAGGACCTCTGTAATAAATTTTAGACTGAAGGAAACACTTCCCTCTGTATTCCCCGATGGATTTGAAACAAAAGTCACAGATGGTACAAGCATGGACTTGATCTGGGCAGTAGACTGGGTTTGGCCTCCACACGTTTTCTTTAAAAATTTTTAAATTAGTTGCCAAGTTTGAACCACACAGAAGTTTCACACTTAAAAAAAGCAGATTTTGAGGTTTTCATGAAAAAAATGAGGTCTACCAATACTCCAGCCCTCACTCCTGGTATGTGGTGACAATTAGCTAGAGCCGAGTGTCAGCTGGCTTCTACAGAGTGTGCAGACGCTCTGTGCTCCCACTCACCACGGTCGGCGCCGCGCCCTCGTCTTCCTCCTGCCCACTTCAGTTGTGTGCATGAGCCGCCCGTTTTCCTTCGAGGTTGTCAGCCCTGGCACTGGACTCTTGGGAGCTTATTACAGACCTCTGAGAGAAGAAAGTAAAGTGCCTATATGAAAGGAAGAAGGGGAAAGGGAGGCTTATACGGGAGAAAGCAAATAGATGTTTCAAAATATTCTCCTGTTGCCTTTACTCTTAATTTCTAATTCACTTTTTCTGTTGAATACATGTATTTGGTTGGCATCAGTCGACTCTAATCTTCAAATGACCAAGAAAGAATATAACTGGAAAAGATGAGGTAATAAACTCAGCACTTTAGATTTTTCTTATTGTGAATATTAAACTACACAGCTTAAGTAAACTATGAGGCCAAGTAGCAAAATGTGGGCGGTGAGAAGAGGCTCCTAGCTGTAACTCATTAATTTGGACAAATTGGGATCTAGCTTACCTATATTACTTACAGATTAAAATGACGGAATATTTTTTAAAGATGTAATTTTGCCCCACCCATATTCTTCCCTCCTCACTCCCTTCCCCTGATATTCAGTTCGAAGAGCCGGGATGTCCGGGCTGCGGGGTCGGGAGGGACAAGCATGTGCACGCGTCTGGAGTGCGCTTTCCGGGCGTGCGGGCCGTGCCGGGTGTATGTGGAGCCACAGGCTGACCACGGGCTTCTTCCTACACTATTGATTTTACTTGGGCAGTTTTTAAAGAGAAAACTTACTCTTTTAACTGTCATGTTATCTAAAACGTCTTATATTAAACATATTATGAAATAGGGTGACAGTTTTACATGAAATTTTAAGATAAGAGGCTTCAAAATATTTTATGGAGAGTTGCACAGATTTTTGCCCCCTGCCCCTAATCGTTTCCTACTTTCCTCAATGATCAAGCCTAAGTTAGAGAAGTTTGAGAAGTGCCGGAAGTCAAGCCTGGAGTTGAGGAAGGGAAGGGGCTAGGACAGAGTGTAGAGGGGAATCTGGGGGGAGGCAGCCTACAGGGCTCATGCCTCTGGGGGTCTGTTAGGCCTCCTAACAGAGCTCATTTGGGCCAGCGCCCCCTGCTGGGTGGAGTGAAGGAGCAAATAGCCCTGAAGGGCAACAGGGTGCCAGGCAGCAGTAATGGTGTTAAGGACAGGCTTCTCCCCATCTCCTAGCAGCCGGATGCCAAGTCACCCCAAGTAAACATGACCTCTAAGGAAAAATGATACGCTATGTAAATGTCGCTTTAAGAGAAGTCTTCTGGCCCACCTCATCCCAAACCAGATAGCCACCCTAAGACCCTTCTAATAGAAATTTTCGTCCTGTCACTGTCATTTATGATAATCATGGTTTGCAGTGTATTTGTCTGGGGAAGGAAAGTTGCACCGACCAAGCTTATGGTTAATAGTTCCTTTTTTGTTTGTTTGCCTTTTAGAGACAGGGTCTAGCTCTGCCGTACAGGCTGCAGTGTGGTGGCATGCGATCATAACTCACTGCAGCCTCAAACTCCTGGGCTTAGGTCTATCCTCCTACCTCAGCCTCTCGAGCAGCTGGCACTATAGGCACATGCCACCACGCCTGGCTGATTTTTTTGTAGAGAAGGGGGGTGGGTGGCTCTTGCTATGTTGCCCAGGTTGGTCTCAAACTCCTGGCCTCAAGTAATTCTCCTGCCTTGGCCTCCCAAAATGCTGGGATTACAGGTGTGAGCCACCATGCAGGACAGCAGTTCCTTCAAACAAAGCAACTTATTATAGTTCTTTTTAGGCAACCCTTGTAGGGTCACTCAAAACCCTTAATAGGTGATCTTTTAGGAGGAATATTTCAGATAATAAAATGGAAACTTTTTAATACGTTTTCTGGTTCAAAGAAGTTTTTTCCTTGAAAAGTTCATAGTCTAATAGTTTACTTTTGACTTTCTTTTATAGTTGGAAACTGGACACCATTTTAGAAAATAAATATTAATGATGCAAATATGATGTGTGGAGTCAGGTTAAAGACAAAGCTAATATCTTTGCTCAAATGCTGAAGGATTATCTGGCAAGGAGTTTACTTAGAAGCTGCCGAAAGAAGAAGCAGTTTACTGCTGCATTTACTTTACAAGCAATTGGTGGACTGCTGTAACAACGTTTCATTTTAAGTAGTTGCATTATACTTGAGATGTTAAAAAACTTTTCAGGATAACATAAGATATCCTAAAACTTATAGCTTACCAAATGAAACTCTTTTCCAGGGAGAGCAAATTATAATAGAATACATTATCAAAGGTGTTGTACAACTGATATATTATTGTCTAAAGCGTAAAGCCTATACTTTCTGTTTGTGAAATTGCTATTAGTGCCTCCCCGATATTTTCTAGAGTATAGTTATTCTCCTCTCTCCAATGTAGTAAATATTGAAAAGTGGAACTATATTCCACAAATCTTAGCTACTGAAAGCAAAGTTTAGGAGAAATTAACATTCTTATACTGCATAGCACTGTTTAATGTCACTTTTCATTTCATTTTTAAAAGTCAAATAAAGTTGAATTTTTATGGCCATTTATTATTTGGAATCCATTATTCCTTTTCATCTCAACAAGACTTTGAAAGAATACATGATGCTTTAGGAAAAACCACAATAGAGGTAAGAATAGAAGGAAATCATATCCTCTTCATTAAGCAACATGTCACTATATTTAAAAATGTACTTAGGATCCTGGAAGTGCATATTTGTTATGTAATATTTTGTATTTGGAAAAGAATATTCACACAAGATTCTCACAGCTCATGGCTGCTTAGTGACAAACCAGAATTCAATTTGAGGTTGTGAGCCCTTTTCCCTAAGCTCTTTCAGTAGTTTTATACTGACATCGTCTATGCAGGTAGAATAGATACAGCCAAACAAAATACCAAGGCTGAGTGAGTGATGAGAGGGGCAATAGATTTACTGAGGTTGGGGGAGAAAATCGATGAATTCCATTTTGAATTTGCAGATTCAACAGTAAATGCTCCACTGGTCTATAAACATAAGACTCAAAGTTTGAGTAAGTAATGTTGGAGATTTAAACTTTCAACTGTCACCATTAAAAAGTTGAGGCCAGACTCTCCATGAGAGACGAGGACTAAGGAAGGCAAATATCAAAGAGAGTGGTGAGCCACCTGACATCGAGGGAAGTGACAGAAGACGAGAAGTCAGAGAGACCATTAGTTCAGAGCAGCAAAAAGCACAGATGTACCATTGTCCTCAAGGTTCATATTCTTGAGCGTAGCAACCCCATTAAGGCATTAGGTGAAGAGAGCTCTCTATACTGGGGATCACAAAATCATAGGAAAGATTCTAGGATCCAGGCTTATAATGTAAAGGAGCAAAGTGAGCCAAGACAGGTAGTGAAATCACGTTGTTCTTCAGCTGCTACTCCATTTTCATAACAGGAAATCTTATAACATCTGTCTTTAGAGAAGAGTACTCGTGACCATCCTAGTGAGAAGGAAGCCTCTAAACTGGTACTTCAAAATGTTACAACAGAATTCTCTGATCCAGTTTTAACAAAAGATTTTATTTGTTGATCCCTAAAAAGCAAAATCCAGAATATAGCAACCCACTGCAAGAACGGTTCTGTAATAAAACATTTTTGGCCACCTTCTCCTCTCTGGATGGGGTGTGCCCTTTGACGTCCACATCATCAGGGGCGGCCCGACACACGGAGACACTGTGAAAGGCACGAGCACTTGTCAGATAGCTCACACTTCTGGGACACCTCCCTGGCAGGGATGGGGAGCCTTTTCTGCAGTCTCCCCCTTTTGATAGAAGTTTACTGCAAAATTTTTACAGCAAAATATTTAAAGGGCCCTCCCCTTGCTCTCCTCACTTCAGATATCTACTAGAAAAGTACAGAATTGAAAAGCACTGTGATCAAAACAACGAATGTTAAAGAACATCTGGGTTACTTTAAGTTCCTCGGTTAATACTTGGATATTTACAGAGGAAGTTGAACTTCAAGTTCTATTGTTTCCAAAATGGGAAACAGAAGAGAGGATTCGATTAGAACAGCTGAAAGAATTGATAGTCATTCCATTATGGTACGAAGCAAGCTTTCTTAACCATCAACTGATACTGCCTCATTGATCACAAACCCCGTGGAGATCCAACATGATGTGAGTCTCAAGTGTAGAACATATTTCAGAGACAGCCAGCAGAGTGCTGATATATGAACAGAACAGAGTGCTGGTGATGGCAGAGAGTAAAGAATCCGAAGAAATTTTTAGTGCCATTTTCATTTAATAAGCCAGTAGTATAGCAACCTAAAGACCTTGGCTACGATCACACCAGGATGTTTTTAGGGAACTGCTGCAGGAAAACATGATTGGCAGCCGACATCCTCTGGCTCACTGCGCTATGCGAGCAGCTCTGGCACCAACTTCCCGGAGAGACTTAAGGCTGGGGTGTGTAGCGGAGGTATTTCTTGCCAGATGGGAGTTCTTTGGTGAAGACTCCTTTAGGGAAAAGTTGTTTGGCTTCCTCTTCAGGAATGGTTGGAAGGACCATCACGCTACCTCCTTCCTATTGAAAGACATGGAGAGTGGTGAGATTCAGTCTTACAGTGGAGCTTAAAGGTCTTCAAGAATCAACTTCAGAAAAGTACCTACAGGTCCTAATGAGACTAATCAAGTATCCTTTACATTCTAGACCCTTAAGAATTTGGTTTCACAAGTTCATCTTTGACACTTTTGAGAGGTAAGCATTTCACCATCTTAAGAAGAAATAGTCCTGCTTTAAACCCAGTAATGGCTCGCCATACACTCTCCTTTCAACTGCCAGCGTGTATCGTGGCCTCAGGCCCTATGTGATGAACCTTCCACCCGCACCCCTCCTCCGGAGGCTCTTTTCCAGGCTTTCCTTCTTTTTCTTTTTTTGACAGGTGTGCGCCATCATGCCCAGCCAATTCTTCTATTTTTTTAGAGACAGGATCTTGCTCTTGCTCAGGCTGGTCTTGAACTCCTTGCCTCAAGTGATCCCCTACCCTTGGCCTCCCAAAGTGCTAGGATTGTAGTTGTGAGCCACTACATCTGGCCTTGGCTCTCCTTCTATTCATCTAACATGACAAACTCACTTGCAGATCAAGCTCCTTGCACTAACTGCTCCTTCTGTGCTTTCTTCATGTCCTTCCCCAAGGATCCCGTCAGAGAAAGGCATTCCTGGGCAACCAAATATAAAACCAACTCTCCCACCCCTGTGCTCCTATTCTCCCCACCTCTGCCTGACTATTCTTTGTAGCACCTGTTGTCACCACTTAATAGACTATATAAACTTGTTTACTGTTTGTCTCTCCCCACTGGAATGTAAGTTCTATGACAACAGGGACTTTATATTGTTTACCGCTTGCCCAGTGCCCAGTGTTTGGGCTCAATAAATGTATGTTCAGTTAATGGACACAGAATTTAAATGATTATGTCTGTCAGAGAAAACAACAAAACGTGTTATTCAGGTTAGCATATTTTAAAAATGTAGCAATGTTAAGATACTCCTGTGATATTATCCATATTCTACATATTTGCAGAAATCCTAGAGATTAAAAGTTTATGAACAAGTTTCAAAGAATTTTACATAGGTTTAAAAGACTGAAGCATAAGAGAAATGAAGTGTTTCATGACATTAACACATCAATAGTTTTCTAGCCATGATTTAAGAAAAATGGTCAAAGTTTTGCGATAAATATTTTATCATTAGGGAAGGGTTAGATGAAAGTTGTTTTTTTTTTTAAACCTGTATTAGGAAAAGGAATCATTCTGACCAATCAATTTGTCCAAATTTTCTGAAAGTTAGAAAGCAATATAGGAGGTTTGTGTCTTACGTAAAAGGTATTAAAAGACCTTGAAAAAGGCCTCTGGACAAATCTTAAACTTAGCCTTGAGGAAAAATCCTCCCAGTTTGCCAGAAACAGAGCCCTAGGTAACACAGACCCTGAAGGCAGCTATTTGGAGACTGGCCCTTCAGGCCTTCCAGGCAAGTTGAATATCTGCTTTTTTAACATCTTTACCTTCCAATCAACTGGTGTGGCAACCCTCTTTTCTGCTGTCAGCTGGAGAGAGGTAACTACTCTGAGTATCTCATCAAAGTTCCTGCCAGTGGTAGCTGGGTAGAGGATGGACAGCTTCAGTGTCTTATCAGGACCAAAAATAAACACCTGCAAAGCACAGAAAGGCATAAATAGAGTTCTTTTGGTATTAAAGCCACTTAGAAAGTTCTGCAATCATTAAAAATGTTCAAAAGCGTAAAAACTAAACAAAAGCAAAACATCTAGAAGGATACACCAAACTGGGTAGCTGGAATATAGATCATTTTCTTCTCCATGTTATTTTTCTAAAATTAGAAGGGAATCATATTTGGTTCTGGCTGTCCCAGTAAGAAACAGGAAAGGTCCCTGGAAGGTACTATGTCAACTGGGGATGATGAGCATAAAAATAATACTAATGGAAGTTGACATTGGTTCTTTAAGAGTCATACATTTGTGCAGATGAGGGACTGGGCTTGTTCTCTAGTGGGTGGAGAACAGATCAAATTAACATTTAAAAACAGAGCTGACTGACTGAGAAGGACATGGCCCATCACTAGAAAGAGAGGTCTCTCAGGAGACAGCCTATAGAAAAGGTTTCTTAATTCTAGATGACACCTTAGGACAAACTATTTATTATTTTGTAGATTTCCAAGCACTATGCACTTAGCAGTTTAAAAATTTAGCTGGAGATTTCAGCCACTTTGTATCAATCAGTATTACAGATAATCAATGATATTGTCACCAATACACAGTTATTTTGTAATTGTAGATATTCCCCTATTTCCTCTAGCTGGTCCAAGCATTTGGACAGACAGCCTGATCAGTCATGCTGACTACAAAGTGGAAAAGTGGATTTCTACAACTTACCACACGAGCTGTAACAGGCATGCCCTTTTCATCCTTCTCTGCAGGGTCCAGCATGCCTAACAGGATAGCAAGGTCCCGATCCTTATCGTCGATGATGGGAAAAGGTAACTTTTCTGTGGGCTCATCACCATTATAAGCATTGATATCCTGAAATGCAGGTGAAAGAGGAAATAGAAATCTAAACCCAACACATCCTCTGAGTGTTAACAGTTAGCCATCACCTTGCAAGAAAGGGAAGAGAACTATAATCTAATAATTTTCACTAAGAGATTTTAATAAGAAAACAAATAGATGAACACCCCTCACCAAATTATTAACAGGAATAATGGTAGGGTGCGGTACTTAGTTTATAACCATGGGCAAAAGTCCTTTTCATGGCCAATTCTCTTAAATTTAGCATGCTTTTACTACTTTGAGAAAGCAGCAGTAAACCCTTCAAAAGTTGAAGAATATAGTTAGATCCTAATACAAGGTACCTCTGGGTACTCAAATACTGTAAAAACCATCAGAAACAATGGGTTCATTAAGTCTATCACATCTAGAAATAATGATATGTGCAAAGAAAATTAAATTCTATAGATCTGGTTCTGCCTCAGAAGCACCTTAACTCAGACATTAAGTTACAAAACAGAGCCAGAGAAATGGACAAAAAAAAATCATAAAACTTTAAGCAAATACACAAGAATAGATAGTCAAAAATATACTTCAAGGATAAGTCTTAGGTAAATGGGTAAAAAGGCAGAAGTAAACTTACACCAGGGTGAAATTCAAATAGAAAACAGAGCATTTCAAGTCTGAAATAAAGGAAAATGATGTAGTTCCCTCCTCCGCTAGTAAAATTTTTTTTTTTTCTTTTTTTTAGGCCATATGCTACAGCAGAAGTAAAATTTTATTCATTCAATCATTTCTACTTTTTTTGTCCCTAAAAGCTTTTGGGGAAAAAACAGTTTCATTATTTGATCAAGCATTGCTTTAGCACTTAATGTGGATTATGCATGTGGATTACAAATGAGTAAGATATAGCTATTGCCCTTAAAGGAACTTATAACTTGGTTAGATGATTCCCACATGAAATAGCAGCAAAAACAAGACTATAACGTTTTAGTGGCAGATTGCAAATGCTGAAGTATATGAACATTCCCATTGCTTCAAGAAAAGGGTAGGACTTCTACCTGGGCCACTGAAGGATGGGTAAGATTTTTCCAGGAAAAAGGAAGGCATTTTAGGGAGCAGAAACATTATTAATGAGACCTGAAGGCAAGCCTATGCATGAATTATCGATAGGAGTGAGGAACTTAGCTGGGCAGAGTTTAGGAAATAATGGAAAAGAAGATTTAAAGTTGAAAGAACAGGCTAGCTGTGGTGGCTCACACATGTCATCCCAGTGTTTTGAGAGTCTGAGATGCGAGGATCACTTAAGGCCACTTTGAGGGGTTTAAGACCACCCTAAGCAACATAGCAGGACCTTGTCTCTACAAAAAAAAATTAAAAAAAATATTAGCTGGGCATGGTGGCGTGCATATAGTCCCAGCTACTCAGGAGGCTGAGGTGGTAGGATCACTTGAGTCTAGGAGTCTGAGGTTGCAGTGAGCTATAATGGCACCACTGCGTTCTGAGCCAAGGCGACACAGCAAGACCCTGTCTCTAAAATAAATTTAAAAAAATAAAGTTGGAACAAGGTCAGTCTATTTATTATGTGGAGCCTTGAAAGTAAAACTGGGGCTTCAGATACAAAACCTTTGTGGATTTCTCAACAGAGCTGTGACAGGGTAAATTCGTTAATGTTGCATTAATGAACTTTAAAATGGGTAACAACAAATTCTAACATGTTCCCTAATTTTATTATCTTAACTTTCCTCCTATTGTCACTGGCTGCCTATTAAGTGATCATAACTAAACAATAATCAAGATGATTTCATACTTGAGGTTTCCTGTATAACCAGTTGTATATAGTTTGGGCACTGCTTCTGATACTTGAGAAATATTTAATGTAATCACAGTTCTGAAAACCTCTAAGGCAGAAGCTCACCAGATAAAATGAACCTGGTTATGCTTCTATACTTTAAAAGGTATTATATAATGGACTATAAACTCTTGCTTCAGCAATTTGTTGTTTTAATTATTGCTATGCAGTAATTCTCTACCCTGCCTCTTGCATTACACCTATGAACACCAAAGAACCATATACTTTGGCTTTACCTTCAATCAGGTTAAATCCTACTGTCATCTAGTGTCAAAAAGAACATCAGCTTGAGGTTCAAACCACATTGCCACCATTTTCTAGCTGGGCAAATTTGAGCAAGTCCTTCCAACTCTCTGAGTGAAAAAAGTATGCTCATCTACTAAAATGAGAAAAAGGAAATTGAGAGCACAAACCATACACATACCTTACAGGGCTCTGCTAAAATCTAATAAGAAATTGCCTATGAGAATGTTGTAGAAATGTCAGTTACCATTCACTGGTAAGTGTAAGCAATGAAAAAAACATCACCTCAAGAAAGATAATTGCCCTTTCTTTTTCTCCTAGATGTGACTCTTTTAAAGTCTCAGACTCTTAGGACTAACTGGTATTATTAATAAATGGCCATGGGATGCAGCCCTAGGTCACCACCTCACAAATAGGACTACATCTTTTATTCAGTCGCAAGGGCTTCACATAATGCTTGGTACACAGTAATGTCCCTTAGAAGGCAGCTATCATTATTACTTAGTAGCAAGCTATAGCAAATTCTTTAAAATGTTTTCAAGGTTAGTTTAGACCACCAAATTTATTGTCTAAGTAAACCCTTTCACTGAAAATAGACAATTCCTTCAATTCATTCATGCAACAAATATTGACTGGCCCCCTACAATGTACTGAGTATTGTTCCAGAAGCGCACAAACAGGAGTTCCTGCCCCTGCTGAGCCTACACTCTACTGGAGAGAAACAAACAAAATAAGAAATATGCACAGTATTTTAGATGGTGACAAGTGCTAAGCTGAAGGGGACAGTGAGTGTGCAAAGGCGTTATAATTTTAGATAGAGAGGGTAAGAAGGGCTTTAATGGGGTGCCATTTGACTTGAGACCCAGAGGAAGTGAGGGAAAGCCAGAGAAATACCTGGGGAGTGCTTTTTCTAAATATGATTCTGGATAAATTTTGAAGGTAGAGCTGATAAGTTTGAGGGTAAATCAGACATGTGATATGAAAAAACAAGAGGAATTAAGAATATCTCCTAGATTTGGGGCCTGAGCAACTACAAAACTGTAGATGCCATTAGCTGAGATGAGCAAAACCCTAGCTTTAAGAATGGGGCCCGGTTTCAGACAAGCTAGGTTTGAGATGACTGGCTCTCCTAGGGCAGATGCCAAGTAGGCAGTGGTTATAACAACCTGGAAGCCAGGGGAGTCTAGCCTAGAGGTGGAAATTTGAGAATCATGGCATATAGATGGCATTTAAAGCTATGAGTGGATGAACTCACCTATGGAAAGACTGTACATAGAAAGAGAAGAGGTCCAAGAAATGAATTCAGGGCAACTTCAGCATAAATTAAGAGTTGGGAGATGATGAAAAATCAGTCTAAGCCTGAGCAGAAACAGCTAGAACATGGTCTCCTGGAAGCCAAAAAAGGAAAATGTTTCAGGAGATGGAGTGATCAGCTGGGTTGAATGCTGCTGGTAGGTCAAGATGAGGACTGGGAACCGAACACTTTCACTGTGTAGTCCAAGTCAAATTTTCAAATAATCAGTGAACTCTGAACCTGAGGGTTACTTGTACTTTTACCTTAAAAACCAAGATATTCTCTGGCATTTTTAACTTGATCTGTAACCTCAGGCTCAAAGCACATGCCCATTGGTCTACTCTACCTTGCTCCAGGCAAGATGGTCCTCAACACTGTCTATTGAAAGGGCAATCAACTTAACATTCCTCTTGGCGAATTCTGGTGCCAGCTTTACAGCTCTGCCAAGCTCTGTGGTGCACACAGGGGTAAAGTCCCGAGGGTGGGAGAAGAGAATGCCCCATCTGAAAGGAAGAAAAAGGAGGTCACAAATGAATAAAGTCATTATCAACATTATGTAGAATGAAAAGCCCCAATTTCTGGACCAAAACCAGGCTTGCTTTTTTCAATGAGTGATTATGATGACATTTGCTCTTAAACCTTTTCTGTTGAGAAATGCTTTTCAATCTTTTTACTTCCAGAAAAAGTAAACAGTCCAATTCAATTAAAGATGGGAAATTCCAGATGGTAAATATTTAAAAAGACTAATTTTAGGGTGTTGCCTCTTTTAATAACTATGGAGCCACCCTAACTCCTTTTCAGCTAATTAAATCTGTGCTACTTAAGCCAAGCTGAAATAACTTTTTATTTCTTCTTATTCTTTTCTACATTTTTTTTTCTAGCACAGACCCTGACATTCAGCTCCGATAATGGATGTCCCAATATGCCCTGAATCCAAACAAATGTCTGAATGCAATAATAAACAGATTATATAATCTGAAATAAACAGCGTTCTATCCTCTATTTATATGTAAAATCACAGTGGACACTTCGCTTCTTTGAAGCAATTGGACATAAAATCTTTTATAAAACTACTTTACTGATCTAACCTGCCAAACAAGACACCTGATACTTGCACCCGGACAAAACAATAGCACCTTAACAGTTTAACCTATCTCTTCATTTGCAGTTTCTTTTCCTTCATGCTTCAGATTAAGTAGGTAGAAAACTGACAACCTACAATGTAGATTTCTACAACTACAAATTCTTAGGAGAATACTAATATCTAAATCACCATTGTCTCCTTGTCTAAGGTTAAACTTGTATAGATTTTGAGCACGTTTCAAGCTGAGTTACCAAGAAATTTGGGGTACCATTTCCTTTTCTTTGGTGACAGAAACTACTCTTTCAACTGAAAGGGAAAATCTAACACTCAGTTCTCCACATTCCCATCAACTTATACCATCCTAAACTAGATGATTTAGGCAGGATCCTAAACTAGTAGATAACTAAATCTAGCCTAGATACTAAGGTGACCTCTCCTAAATTTGGCAAGTTTCCCTGAGCACAAAGAACAAAGCAAAGACAAGGGCACTTCCTTCCCACCTACATTTGCCACTCAACTTCCAAGGCCTCAGGAAAGAAAAAGGCCTTCCTCCAAAAAGGATGGAGGGCACTATGGCAAGATTGGGAAGAAACACATAATATTTTTTAAGATTGTGGAGGTGTGCAGTATGTTACCTTTTGGTCAAGGGCAATAAGAGGGACATAGAGTATATTTTGAAATAAGTAATATGAATTCCTAGGCCTTCTATCCTATGGAAAAGGACCTATTTAATGGTCAGATGAGACTTAGGAGAAGGTCTACAGAAGTTGAGAAGAAGTGGGACACGACATTTCTTCTTGTACTGTTAAAGGGGTAATGAATTAGAAAAGTTAGTTCTTTTTCCATTGTGAGTCAATAGAGACTGTTTTGCTGAATCATGCTAAGGAACTGGGTTTAAGCCACTTCACATCCTTCCCTCCCTCAGAAGCCAAACTCCAGTTTACCACATGGCTAGAAACAGGATAAACTCCAAGAACATCTTATCTTGGCCGTCCTTCCCCTCTAAGTCTTCCTACTGCTGTTTATAAGAGTAATTCAATTCTTTCTCCCATTTCCTTCCTTTCTCATTTTCAAAAGACAAAAGGTTTCCTCCTTTAAGAGAATGGTCTACACTTACTAAGCCCTAGAAAACCCCTGAAAAACATGTTTCATTTAGTGACAATGTACTATGAAAAAGCTGTTTCTACTATACACAAAACAGTGATGAGGCTCAGCAAAGCCACCGAAAGCAGCACCCAAATCCCTTTAGTTTTTTCCAATTGTCAGGGGTAGGGTAGATAACTGTAATGTTTAAAATTATTTTCTTCTCCAAAAGATACCTGGATCAAAAATTGCCCATTTATTGATAGGGCTGTTTTATTTTTTCTTATCGATTTTCTTCAGTTCTATATAGATTCTTGTTATCAGTCCTTTATCAGATGTGTAGACAGCAAATATTTTCTCCCATTCTGTAGGTTGTCTATTCGCTCTAATGATAGTTTCCTTGGCTGTGCAGAAGATTTTTAATTTGATCAGGTCCCATTTGTTTATTTTTGTTGCTGCTGTGATTGCTTTGGGGTCTTCTTTATAATTCTTTGCCTAGGCTGATGTCTGAAAGAGTCTTCCCAACATTTTTTCCAGAGTTCTTAAGGTTTCATGCCTTAGGTTTAAGTCTGTTATACATTGTGAGTTGATTCTTGTGAGAGGTGGGGATCCAGTTTCAATCCTCTGCATGTGGATATCCAGTTTTCCCAGCACCACTTATTGAATAGAGATTCTTTTCCCCAATGTACATTTTTGTCTGCTTTGTCGAAGATTAGATGACAATAAAGACATCTGCACTCGAATGTTTGTAGCAGCACAATTCACAATTGCAAAGATGTGGAAACAGCCCAAGTGCCCATCAATACATGAGTGGCTTAATAAAATGTGGTATATGTATACAATGGAATATTACTCAGCTACAAAAAACAATGGTGAAATAGCACCTCTTATATTACCCCAGATAGAGCTTGAGCCCATCCTTTGAAGTGAGGTATCACAAGGATGGAAAAACATGCATCACATGTACTCGCCATGAAATGGGTACTAACTGATCAATGCTAAGGTGCTCACCTGGTGGTAATACTCATTGGGTGCTGGTCAGGTGGGGGTAAACCCACAACTAACGGAAGCAGAGCACACTGTATGGGAGAAGGGCATGCTTATAGCCTGGCTTGAGTGAGGCAAATGCATTACATGTAACCAAAATGTTTGTATCCCCATAATATCCTGAATTAAAAAGAAAAAATAAAGTGTAAATTCTTGGGCTCCGCTCCAAGAAAAAAAAATTTTGACAGTCTGATTTGAGATCATATGGAGTTTGGAAAAATTTGGCGGAAATCCACATATTATAATGATATAGAATGGTCAAATTTCTTTTCCTGGTAGGGCAAGGATATTATGCCTAACCTAACCCTAGGCAGACTTGTTTTATAAATGCAGATATTTTTCTCATCTTCCTACCTGCGGCTCCCTGAGAATGCACCACTTTTAATCAAATCTAGATAGATCCAGAGGCCAATAAACAACAAAAGTATGGCATCAATAGCTTAAATACTGACAGCATTTATAATTGTTGCTACAGTAAATATACTTTATGTTAGTATTTAATCCACAGAAGCTAAGAGTTCTGGTAAGGTTTTATGTTTCATGGGGGTTAGGTATATAGAAATGGGAGGTTAATACACTCTGAAAAATCCCATGGAATTTTAGAGAAATATTAATATCTAGATTCTCAGTATGAGACTGAGACTGTATTCCTAGAGTCTTTTTGTGCCTGCAAAGTCTGAATGTTCCATTTCTCACTTTTTGCTAACAGATTCCTCTCTTTCACAAAGCTTAATTTTTCCCTAATCAGTGGCTGGAAAATGGCCTTAAGGGGTTGTAAGGGAACAGGCTTGACATCTAAGAATTTCTCCTAGGTTCTCTGCATAGCCCTGTCCAGTCATTCATTAATTTCATAAGCTTCCCTCTCTCTGCCTATAGATATATACCCCTGTATATTGTATACAAACCAGGGAGGAGGTGTCAGGAATTGTCAAGCCTTGGAGCATAACAGTGTAGTGGGGCTGGAACTCCAGAACCACAATATAACTTGACATGCCTGTAATGTTTCTAAGGAAAACTAAGTAACTTAACAGCTTGCTGATTCAGGAGTTGCAAAAAAAAAAAGGGGGGGGGCATCAATTTTCTCCTAGTTGCAACAGCATGATTGTGAGGCCAAATCATGCATTATCAATTTGGCTATCACCAGCAAGGCCACGTGCTGGCAGCGCAGCAGAAAGGGGAGGGGACAGTGAGTGGCACACCACTGGCAAACAAAAGGGTCTCGGAGTGGGGAAGTGCACATCCTGGAGCCTGGAACGACCTACAAGGGCAAGAATAGGTCACCGCAGCTGAGCCCTCTCAGAAAGCCCTTCCTTAAAGTGTTACAAGTTCTGGAATGAAGGACGCACCTACACACAGTGTTCCTGGTTCCTCCCAAAGCCGTTATCACATCTCATCTTGGCCACTGGAGAAAGCTCTGGACAAAAAGTCTTTTGGCTACTTACTTGGCAGCTGGTGGTTTTAATTGTACATTTTGTACCCAGAAGCCCGCAAATACCACTGCAGCTAGCAGCCCCCTCAGATAACTCTTCGGGCTCCCCTAACCTGTGGCCGGCAGCAGTGTCCTCTGACTTCGGCCTTAGTCCCTCCTCCTCCCTAGGGAGCAAACTCCGGGACGGAGGGCGGGCGGGCGGTGCGACCCCGGTCACGAGTCCTGGGAAGTGACCGCAAATGCCACCCCGCCCGTGCCCCCTCGGCCTGACCAGGCTGCGTGCCCAGTTCAGTACGCCAAGTTAAAGAGACGACAAACCGTCCTCCGCACGGGCATCAAGTTCCCAGGGCCCGCGGAGCCCAATTTTGTCCCCCGCACTCCCGAGCCAGCACGGCCACGCCGGGGCAGAGACCACTCGGAGCGAGGGGCCGCGCAGGCGGGCCGGAGCCACACGGCGAGAGGCTCGGGCGGGCGCCGGTGCCGGAGGCGGCGGCGGCACTCGGGCTGCGCGGCGGGGACGGAAGGGAGGAGAATAGGGAAGGCACCTCGGGCCGGCGACACCGAGGCCAGGGCAGGGCTACGCGGCGCCACTTACGAGTCTCCCAGATAGTCGTGGAAGCTAATGCGGCCGACGGTGGTATTGGCCTCGAAGTTGGGAGCCTTGTCCCCGAGAAGCAGACCTCCGGGCATGGCGGCGGCGGTGACGCGGGAGGATGAGGAGGCGCAGTTGCGACAGCGGCCAGCCGCTTTCTGGCGACGAGGTTCGGGTCCCGCGCGCGGAGCAGTAAATACAGGCGAGGGGGCGGGGCCTAGGCGGGGCCGGGGCGGGGCCACGGCGGCGCCGGCGGGGTGAGGGGCGCGCGCGAGGCGGACGCCGCGGCCACAGTCGGGCGCGCTGCGAGTCTCGGGCCTAACGCCCGTCTCTCTCCACACGTGACGCGGCGCTCAGTACGTCGCCCCCTGGAGGCTTGGGGGTGCGCGCGGTTGATCTCGCGGGGCGCGTGGGCTTTAGGGTGAGAGGAAGCGGAACGCGGTTAGGAGAGAGAGCCCCGCGGGAGGAGAGTCGCCCGGCCCGCCAGGCTGCCGTGCGCGCCGCACGAGGCCGCGCCGCACGAGGCCGCGCAGACCCTCGGGAGCGTGCTAATGGGTCACGCCACGACTCTCGGCCGAGGGGCGACCTGTCGACAGCCACCCTGTTAGTGCGAGCGCCTGGAGACCGGCCGGCCGCTCTGGCCGGCCTAGCCTTGGTGAGGATGTGGCAAGACCCAGCAGCGTGGCTGAACTTATGTCAGAGGAAGTGGCTTTCTCATTGCAGCAAAAATTCCCGTACCAGTGTCAGTGCTAGGGTAATGTAAAACTTCAATTTTTATTCTGCTCCCTGCTCCCAGTTTGCAATGAGCCATATACATCTTCAACACGGTTATCCTGAATTCTAAATACAAATTTTAAAACATACTTATTTAAACCTTCTGTGTGTGCAAGTCAACTCTGCCCCCCAGGGAGGTGGGAGGTTTAGATTTATTTCCTTTCTAAGTGCCAAGCACGAGATAAGATACCTGTTCTCTTGGAGCTTTCCTTTCAGTGAAGAGCGACAAATGGCAGCAAGCACATGATTAAACAAGAATATATTAAAGAGCATTAAGTCCTATTCAGAGAACTAAAATAAGTTTATGTGCTAGAGCAGCGGTCTCCAACCTTTTTGGCACGTGGGACTGGTTTCATGGAAGATAATTTTTCCACAGACTGGTGGGTGTGAGCGACGGGGAGCGATGGGGAGCGGACCGGGTGTAGACACAGATGAAGCTTGGCTCCCTCCAGGCCGCTCACCTCCTGCTGTCCGGGTGTTGGTAGGAGGGGAGGGCGCTCTTCGTCCCCCCTTCCTAAGTGTCATGGTTTCACGGAAGACAATTTTCCCGTGGATTGGAGGAGGGGGTGGTGCGTCTGAGCTTTGTGGCCCAGTCCCTAATAGGCTGCTGACAGGGGTTAGGGACCGCAGTGCTGGAGGGTAGCTGGAGGGATCTTTTGGATTGGGTGGGGTGGTCTGGTCTGGGAAAGCCTCCAGGGTAATGTAGATAAACTATTGAGCACATGGTAGGTGCTCTGGAAATGGTAGCTACTATTTGGATGAGGGCAATGGTTCATGCAATAACTTTTACTTTCCCTACTACCCAGGCCTGGTCATACAATGGAGAGATACAGCCCCTCCTCTTACCAGGAAGGCAGATTTACATGCAATTGTGATAAACTGTAGGGTAAAGGTTGTTGAGGGAAAGCACAAATGGTTTGAGTTCAGATATGGGGAAAATTATCTGGATAGGGTTGGCAGGCTTATGGGAGGTGCATGGCAGTGTTGAGCAGTGACTCGCATGCTATGATTTGAGTTGTCATCATAGTGATGTGTATGTGTGTGCATGTTAGTCATAATTACCCCGTTCCCCACTGAACAAGGACTTGTGGTAAGATTACTGGTAAAATTTCTGATACCAGAAAAAGATGCTTTCGTGCAGCTGTGGGGTTTGGAGAGACCCTTGAAGTCCTTATAGTTACCTCCTGAGGGTCAGGAGGGAAAGGATTGCTGGGATTTGCAGAGGCCAGTGACTTTGGGCTGATTCACATTGTCTCTCCTGTCCTCCCTGCTTGGAACAGATTGAAAGAAAAAGTGAAGGAATTGGCAATGGCCATTTGGAAGAACTACAGTGTATTATGATGCCTGTCTCTCTTACCAGATGGTGAACTCCTAAAGGTTTGACCATATTTTATTGATGAATATTGGAGACCTGTTAGACATAGTGGGCATGAGAACTAGGTTGCATAAAATATTGGAGAAACATTTGGCTACCTTCCTGCAGCCTCAACAGCAAGAAACTGCTGTCCACAACAGCAAAGTTTCTTGTTTGTACACAGCTGGGAGCAATATGTCCCTAGTCATACAGTCATGTGATACATAATGACATTTATGTCAAGTCTGACTGCATATTCTACAATGGTCCCATAAAATTATAATGGAGCTGAAAAATTCCTGTTGCCTCATGACATATTGATGATCCTGACACTGCAGGTCTAGGCTAGTGTGTGTGTTTGTGTCTTAGTTTTTAACAAAAAAATTTAAAAAGTAAAAAAAAATTTGTTTTAAATAGAATAAAGCTTATAGAATAAGGATACAAAGAAAGAAAATACTGTATTTTTGTATAGCTGTACAATGCATTTGTGTTTTAAGCTGTGTTAGTACAAGAGGCAAAAAGTTAAAAAACTTTAAAAGTTTATAAAGTAAAAAAGTTATAGTAAGCTAAGGTTAATTTATTATTCAAGAAAGAAATATTAAAAAAGAAATTTATTCTAGCTTAAGTGTGCTATAATGTCCTAAGCTTTCCATTCAGTCATTGCTCACTAACTTACCCAGAGCAACTTCTAATCCTGCAAGCTCCTTTCATGGTAAGGAACCTATAGAAGTGTACCATTTTTTATCTTTTATATGGTGTTTTTACTGTGTCTTTTATATTTTTAAATGCATAAATGCCATTGTGTTACAGTTGCCTACAGTATTGAATATAGTAATATACTAGACAGGTAGGTTTGTAGCCTGGAAGCAATAGGCCATATCATATAGTGTAGGTGTGTAAGAGGCTATATCATCTAGATTTGTGTAAGGACACTCTATGATGTTCACATAATCATGAAATCGCATAAGGATGCATTTCTCAGAACTTATCCCTGTTGTTAAGGGATGTAATCGTAAGTAGGTAAAAATCCTTATGCATGCAGGAGGAGACATATACAACTCGAAATTAACGTTAGGATGGTGGGATTGTGTATTTTTTAAAAAATCTTATAAACTTTCTTGTTAGATTTGATTGTATTTTCAGGAAAAAAAAAGGCCAGAGCACAGGAAACATACATACCGAAACACACCCATTAAGGCAGTGCTATCAACCTGCTGTGTGAATGGGGCTGATAGTCTCTTCACTGCTCTTCTTTATCACATTTAATGTGGCCACTCTTCCATATTATATTAATATTTATTACAGGACTTCTACAATCTGGAGAGAAGTCAAAGTAGGAAATATGGGAGTAAAAATGAAAGACAATAGCTTTTAAAATCCTAGAATAAGGAATAACTATCAGAGGGGCTTTGGAGTAGTGAATTCTGACACTTCTTTTCCCAAATAAAACACTCTGAAAGTTCACTGTTTACCCATTCCACCAATAATAATTTTTAGGGAAAAATTTGTCCATAAATTGCTAAAAGATTAGATTTAAAAGCATGATATAATACTTGGATAACTAAAGACCAAAAGTCAAGTTGAGAAATTACTTGAAAGTTCAAGGAATTGCTTGAAAAATGATGAATTAATTCTCTCATATGCTTTTAGTTAAGCATAAACATTCTGTGAAGGAAAGAATTTATTATATTTACAGAGTGGGCAGTGAATAAAATTTGTAAAGCTTCATATCTGTAGATCTATAGATACTGTCCTAGAGAGGAAAGAGGGGAAAGGGAAAGAAAAAGCAGTTAGCAAAGAAGTCATGAAAGCTGGGAAAGGGAAGAGAGAAAGAACAATGGGGAAGAGAAGGTGTCTTGGAGTGGTACCTGTTTGAACGCCTGTCTTGCCCAGGCTCTTTCCTAAGGAAAGCTGGCCACACAGTGATTGTATAGGACCAGAGGTCTTGAACTGGATGCTAATTACATGTGTTTAGTTTGTGAAAATTCATCAAGCTGTGTGCTGAAGATAATTGCCCTTTTCTGTGTATATATTATATAGTACTTCAATAAGGCTTAAAAAAAACAAAAAAGAAAGGAAAAGAAACCACCTCTGTATATAGATTAGAGTAGTTGTATTGTACGTGAATTATTATTTTCCTGAATTGCTCAAGAAAGCTTACTCTGAGTATTTCAAAACAAACATCACTCATGCAAATTGGTCAATGTTGCTGAATTGTTACAGTCAATAGCTATGACTACCAGGAAGGTTCTGCCCACATGAAAAACATTCTTGAGATCTTGCTTTCTCCATAAAACCTTTGTTTAGGTGCATCCTGAGTAGAAAGCCTTGCCTGGCTGTGATAAAGTAGATAGCCTGAGGGGATGGACACCTTTGCAGGCCTTTACTCTATAAAATTCTATACTTGCTCATTCATTGATATAATCAACAACTCAGCAACAAGTGGTGCTTTTGACTAGCCTGGTATCTGGTGGTCTCTCAGTAAATGTTAGTGCTTTTCTTGAAAATCATTTCCTCAGGATACCTGCCTGTTAGTAAGTAGTCTTCAGTCTAAGAAAGGATCCTGATGTTTTGAATATACACCCCCTCCATATTCCTGAGGCTCAGCCTCACCCCTTTGTCACTCCTCTATGAGCCACACCCAGGATCAAAGAGGGAGAAAACAAGAGGGAAGGTTTGTGAACTGGGCATTACTTAGTGATAAAAATAATATAGAATTTTTACATTTTGGCTCATCAAAATGTCCTTTATGCAGAACTTATCCGATGGTCACTACATAGTGTTACAGTCATAAATCTTTAGAATTATAAGGAAACTTTGAGGTCATATAATCCAAACCCCAATTCCAACCCTCTCACCTTCACCATTTTACTTTTTTGTTTGTTTTTGGTTTTTTAGACTATACCATATTTTTACTGTAACATTCATCATTTCAAAGTTGAAGAAACTGAGTTAAAATCTGGCATGGATTTTTAATTTTATTGAATGGCTTTAATATTTTTTCACATTTAAAATTTCAGTCTTGACCCAATATTTCCTCCTGCTACCACTCACTTCTCTGTCGATCTTTCTCTTTTTGTCTTCCTCCATACATTGAAACTCATCTTGTTAAGTCCAATGGAAGCTTTTCTTCACTTTCAATGCATTTGGCAGAGTTTTATTTCTTTTTTCTTTTTTTTTTTTTGAGACAGAATCTCGCTTTGTTGTCCGGGCTAGAGTGAGTGCCATGGCGTCAGCCTAGCTCACAGCAACCTCAAACTCCTGGGCTCAAGCGATCCTTCTGCCTCAGCCTCCCCAAGTAGCTGGGACTACAGGCATGCACCACCATGCCCGGCTAATTTTTTCTATATATATTAGTTGGCCAATTAATTTCTTTGTATTTATAATAGAGACAGGGTCTCGCTCTTGCTCAGGCTGGTTTCGAACTCCTGACCTCAAGCAATCTGCCTGCCTCAGCCTCCCAGAGAGCTAGGATTACAGGCGTGAGCCACCGTGCCCGGCTATTTCTTTCTTTCTTTATTTTTAGAAACATGTCTTTTTCTGCTTCCAGTATACCAGGCTCTCCTGAGTTTTTCCTCCTTTCTCACTGGCTGTTTTCTCTGTTTCATCCCTTCTCTTACTTCTGAATGTTGGTGCCTCTCAGGGAACATTCTTTGGCCCTTTACCTGCAGTTTCTCTGTACGTTATATCTAGTCCTGTGGCCTTAAATAACTTCTGTGTGCTGATAATGCTCATTTTTGTCTTCAGACAAGTTCAAAATTTGTATGGCCATCTATCTTCCCATTTAAACCTTGATCTGGATGTTTCATAGACCATTTGAAATATGTCCAAAATATAATTCTTAATTTCCTCCCTCCCCCACAACAACAGATTCATTTGATCCTCAACTGAATGTCCCATTTTTCCCTTTCTCTTTAGAAGAAGGATCATTCTGACTCCTCCATGTACTCACCTCCCACAGGAGTCTGAACACGGAGTCCAAGAGATTCTGCCTCTAAAGTCTAAAGCATATCTTGTAACTGTTCAGCTTCCTCCATCTTTACTCCTAGTTATTTATTTCCCTTAGCTTCAAACCTACTTTCTTTTTCCTACATCGTGATAGCAGAGCTGTACCCTGCAAACTATAATGCATTTTTTCTCTGATAGACGGTTTTCTGTTAGGTTCAGCCAATTGCGGGCAGTGGTTGTGCCGATGGGATTCTCAAGGCTGGAGAAGGAAGAAGGGATTTATCTTCTTCCTGTTATTTTCCCCTCCACGTGGCAGTGGCAGCATCAGCACCCAGCTGGCTCTGGCATCATTCCTTGTGGTGGTGGATTGCTCCTGTGATTCCAGTGAGTGTCCTCCAGAGGTTTCTTCTTCACCCCAGCGGTGGGTGACATGTTTCTGCAGCAGCTGAGCCATCCCTTTAGAGACCTGAATCTTAGTCTGGTGGGGCCCTTTCTGCGTTTCTAAGTTTCCTCTTTGTTTACCGTTTCTTCGGTTGTAGGAGTGACAGCTTTAGTCTGTGGTTGCCACCCCTATCACACCATGAAATTCTCCTTTTCCTTTCTAGCACCTAACTACCTTTCTACCAAGTTAACAGTTCTTTATAATTACACTTTCTTCATTACTATGCGTTTCTGTCTCTTGACTGGCCCCTGACTGCCGTGGAAGTTGGTGCTAGGAGTGCAGGAAAAAGACTCAAAAATTGGTTTTTGGGTTGTTTTGGTCTGAGCCCCTTGCTAGCAGTAATGCAATGCTAGTAATCCATGACATTCAATGGCATCACAACAGAATTATCACCTGTGGCCAACTGTGGTGAAATGTTAACTGAAGCATGTGCTTTGGGGGCCCAAGTGGCTGCTGCACTTGGCTCTTATGGCAGTAGTGATGACTTTAAGGACCGTGGCATAGGATGGATATTTTTGAGAGTAGTGGAGTGCTTACAGACAGAAAATGAAAAGCTCAGGTCCTGAAACTCTTGGTTCAGTTCTTGGTCTGAGAACCAGAGAACTTCCATGGCTACCCTAAAATAGCTTTTTATTTTTTTGTAGCCACAGGGTTGATATTGTTAAAAATTAATCACAACAATTAATTGTACAGGTTGCAGAATTACAACATTGGTTGAATTCACAGCCTTGCCAAGTGTCCCATGTGAACGTTAGGTTATTGATCAGGAAGGAAGGGGATCCCCAAAACTCAAAATGGGGACATCTGGTTGGACTAAAATGAAACTGAGAATGTTGAGCCCCTGAATCACTCTCAGTCTCCCTTGTTAGTAGAGTAGCTTGCTCTTCTGTATCTGAGGGGTCTTCCCTTCCCCCTCAAAAAATAAACGCCTGTAATTGCCTCACCTGGAACAGCACCTCACAAAAGAGAGGATGCTCACTCTCCTCAAAACCTATCCTGAACATTCCTATTGCCACTAGACCCAGAAATAGGGTCAATTTTCAATATATTCTAGTGGCCTAGACATGGCAACAGGTCTCTGGAGTGTATATCTGGTGCTGAGCCCAGGTTCCCAAATTTGCCCCTTCTTCCAAAGAGTCACTGTTTGCTCTGCAGAGGGAGTATGGGCCAAGATAGCCTCACCAAACACCAGGCTCCAGATTCTCAAGAAATCTTTTTCAACACCATGGTTTCAAAAACTAAATTGGAGAGGTAATTTTAAGGCTCTTACATAGAAGAATTCTTTCCAGAGAAACCTATCTATGGTGACTGTTGTTCAATTCTGCACCTGTCAGCATTGCCTTCTTGCTTTTTCATTTGCAAAATAAATATACTTCTAGCTTTCTGACTGTGTCATTGATACGTAGGTGGCATAGAAATCTTGGGTGGTAGAAATGGAGTTTCTGGCAGAGACTGTCTCTTTTTGTCTGAGATTTGTTCTCCTGAACTTTATGAGCACTGAATCGTTTTTGGCAAATGGCTTGGATTTAGCTGTTGAAAGAGAAGGTCTCAGTGTTCCAAGGGGAAAGAATGTAGGCTTGTCCTAATCCTTAGATGCTGAGCTCAAGTGTCTCTAAACTAAATTCTTTCATTTTACAGGGGCCTAGACACTTAAGCTATGTAAACAGAGTATTTGCATGTGACATACAGTCAGTGACAGTCTTTCCTAAGAGTCCCCATAGGCATATAGGTTTATTTTACAATTAACAATCAAAATCCTTTGTGAAATTTGATTGGTGGATCGGAAGCCCAGAATCAATTTTATACCTTTGGCTTAGTTTTTTGTGTGCCCACTTAAGTATGTAGTCAGTTCTTGCCAATAAACACTCAGCCTTCATTTCCAGCTTATGTTTTGAGAGCACAATTCCACTGAAAGCCTAGCCGTGGGTTCAGGCCTAGGGGCACCTATTCATTTTGCTCTGTTCCATGGTCCCATCTCTGGGACCTGCTCATAAGGGGACGTGGGCAAGATATGTGACTGATTCAGAGAGAATCATTTCTAGTAGAGGCTGAACAATTGAAAGTACATAATTCTGTTTGGAGGAGCTGAGAAGAGATGTCATTGGTGTTGCCTTTTTAATATAAAAGTAGACTTAATATTTAAACAGACTATCTGATTTATTAAACATTTTAAACTATTTACAAAGTGAAATTATTTATATACCTTATTTTCTCCCCACTCACCCATTTATTCATTCATTCAATAAGCATTTCCCCTCCCTGTGTGCAAGGTACTGGTATAAGGTTTCAATGAACTTATGATGTGATGCTCTTTTCCATTACCTTGTTTCTTTATTTTCTCATTCCTTTGTCATTTCATTTTCTCCAAACATTTCTTCTTTTCTATCCCCCTTTTCGTTTACATTATTTAAGTTGTAATAAAAATAATTAAGATTCAACTAACTCAAGTTGGGAAGATATGGGTGGGCTTTGAGTAGTTGCAATGGTGGGCTGCACCCCTACATTTTACCTTTGCTGCTGATGACACCTGCTTGTGGGGCAGCTGTTGACACAGGAGTGGTACAAACAATGCTGGCTGCCCTGCTGAGATTCTGTGATGTTGGACTGTAAGCTTTAACCATCTGCCCTTTCAAAGTCTCCCTTTGTCCACCTCCAGCAAAAGTACAGCCCAATTCCCTCTGAAACAATTTTAGTTTTGGGGGATTCTCTCTGCCCAGCTAACTTGCCCATTTGGAAAAATTTAGTTACACAGAGGTGCGTCACCCAAAAGAAAACAGTTTGGAATGACTCCAGTAAGCATAGTCTGTGAAAACATAAAGGCATGTGTTTACAATTAGTCTAGAATGGACTCTTGAGGATTGGGGACTCTGGCTTTCTGTTTTCTTGTGGCTGCCTACCACATGATCTCTTTTACTTGCCCAATAACTCTGTTGTGCTTACTTAATAAATATTTACTGATAACAGTGAATAAAAACTGTGAAGCTAGGCTGGTTATTTCAGTGGTTGTTGGACAAATTCTGTAATAAAAACCAAATAAGAGTGACTTTTCCACCTGCCTTTCTAAGCTGGGGTTTGTTTTTCTACTTCAGCCTTGATTCCTAAACTGGAGCCAGAAACTGTGGATCAAAGGTGGAAACAACCACTGAAAACAAGATCACAGATGAGAGCTATGGACAGCTCAAGTTCTTTCATAGTAAGTGTTTAGTGAAGACATAGTTTTAGGTTACAGGGGCCCATGCTCACTCTCTGCAGAGTGAGTAGTGACTCCGTAGAAGAGGGGACCTGGGCTCAATGCCAGTGTTATACTCAGACCTGCTGCCACTTCTAGGGCACTGGAACATGCTGAAATTTGACCCTGGGTATGGGTCTAGTGGCAATAAGAAGTATCTGGGGTAGTTTTTGAGGAGAGTGGGCATCTTCTCTTTTGTGAGGCATTTGTTCCAGGTGAGGTAGTTACAAGGTTTTGGGGGAGGGGGAAGAAGACTTCTCAGACACAGATACTTTTTTTCTAGAAGTTTACTATCTTTAGATTTTTTTTTTGTTTAAATCTGTAATTCATTTGAGTTAATTTTGTATAAGGTGTGAAGTATAGGTCAGGTTTATCTTTTGTATCTATCTATCTATCTGTGTAAATATGCATGCATTTATTTGCATCTGAATGTCCAAATGTGCCAGCACCGTTTGTTAAAAATACCATAATTTTTCCATTGAATTCCTTTTGTACCTTTGTAGAAAATCAATTGACCATAAATAGAAGAGTTTATTTCTGGACTTTCAATTCTGTTTCATTGATGTATATTTCTGTTTACCACACTGTCTTGACTACTATAGCATCTTGAAATTAGGTAGTGTGAGACTTCTATTGTTGGGTTTTTTTTCTTTTCTTTCAGCTATTCTGGTTCCTTTGGCACTGCATATAATATTTTAAGTCAGCTTGTCTGATCCATAAAAAAATACTGCTGGAATTTTGATTGTATTGACTCTATAGATTCATTTGGGGAGAACTGACATTTTAACAATACAATATCTTCAAATCCATGAATGCTGTATGTTTCTACATGTATTTAGCTCTTCTTTGATTTCTTTCATCAATCATTTATATTAAGCAAACAGATTATGCATATATTTTATTAAGTTTATACCTAAATACCTCTCTTATTTTTGGTGCTATTACAAATGGTATATCTATATTTTTTATTTCAAATTTCAACTGTCCATTGCTGGGGGAATATGATTGACTTTTCTATGTTGGCTTGTATGTATCCTGCCACCTTAGTTCACTTAGTTTTAGGAGCTTTTTGCAGATTCTTTGATGTTTTCTACATAGATAATCATGTTATCTATGGATAAAGATATTTTTGTTTTTTCCCTTTCAATATACATGCCCTTTACTTCTTTTTAATTGCCATATTACACTGACTAGGACTTTCAGTTCATTGTTAAATAGGAATGGTAAGAGAAGGCAACCTTCTCTTGTTCCCAGTCTTGTGGGAACACACGTAGGCACAAACACACATCCTTGTACACCCATGCATAAGAAGTAAATTTTATTTTAGAGTGAAAATGAAAACTAAAAGTTCTCAAAACAAGTAATAACAATTCATTTTTGGACTTAATTTTATAGCCTTTTAATGGCAAGGAGGGGGAGTATAAGGAAGGGGAGAAAATGAGACTGAGGTGAAGGAAGCAGGTGGGGAGGAAAAATCTGGAGAGGCTGGGTAGGAACAAACGGTGGACAGTGGAATGACGGGTGAGGAGCCCACCGGGCTTCAGAGTGAGTGTGGCAGTTGGAGTGAAACTCCTCTGGTTTCTCTTGGGCAAGGGCACGGGAGTAGGTTACCCCAGCTTTTACTTTTATTTTCCATCTTTATTGTTTAATTTTGACAGTCAGGATATTTTCTCGTGGGATTTTGAACATCGTCACCTTGTGATGAAATTACTTAGAATTGGTGATTTAGTAATCAAATAAAATTAGTAATTCTGTAATTAGTATTAGATTACATAAATACATATAGCCTGTATTTTGCTTTGATGGATTTTGAACCTGACTGATGGCATTATTTTTAGGAGAGAATGCTTCATTTCACAATGTCTAGAGATTGCATCCAAAGACAATGTTTATTTAAAAATAAATCTATTTTTAGTCTCTTGAGGAACACACAATGCAAGCAAATAAATTAAGAAAAGGTACTTTAACTGGAGGCTTCACTAGTTTATTTAACTGCTTTGAACAATGTGCTTGGTTCTCACTTGAGTAAGAAAGGGAATGAGGTCCTGTTGTCCACTAGGATGGAAATTATATTCTCATTTGAAGTTTCTGCTGTCGGACAATGCAGTCTCCTATGGTGTGGAAGAACAGCATCATGTTCAAGCAAGGTGGAATTAGAATGCACAGAGCTATGTTTCTTGTCCAGGAAGAGGGAAGGTTTGATTAATTGTTTGCAGGCTACGCATTTGGTGGTGGCAACAGAAAAAGGGTTGTGGTCACAAGGAAACCTGTGGAGTCATTCAGCAGCTTTCCTAGTTGACTTAGACAGCCTGTATCCCTTGTATCACCAACTGGCACCTACAGCAATGCTTGGTGGCATTTAACTTCTCATCACAAACAACTTTATTCTTTTCTTCTTTCCTTCTACGGTTCCTTCCTTTCTGACTTCTCTGAGTGATGGTAATATTGTGGCCACAGGCTGTCTCTCAGGGCATTTAAGAGTGATGCCCACGGCAGCATCCACGCCTTGCGGACACAGGGCATGGAAGGGTCAGTATAATGGAGGCGCCAGCCCCTGTTAGCGCCTGCTACAGAAAGTCACGGCCAGGCTGCCAGTGTGGTATCACAAGGAAGGTAGCTGTGCTCAGCAGTGGCAGAGTCTAATTTTAGGGTGTTAGGGGATTCTGGAGAAGAGCAGTATTGTGTGCTGCTGAGTCATTAGGAATTAAACATGGTAGGTAGAAAATGGCAGAACAGAGGAAAGAAATAAGAGAATGCAAGACTGATCATGGAATAATTGAAGCAAGAAGGAATTTTGCTGGCTGTAACGATATAAGATGTCTGCATGTACATCATGTTGATTAGGAAAGAGGCTCTTTGTTCTGAAATGTCTTCATCAGTGAAAGTCAAGGAGATGAGCTTGGTGGGGACACAGTGAACCGACTACTCCCCCGCATCGACTCAGTCCTGGATCTGCAGAACTCAGCTCCACCCCCACTAACAGCTCCCAGCTGTCAGCCTGTGGAGCCCTCCTCTATCTCTGCGTGCGTGAGTGTAGAGCTCATAATACGCTCAGCTTGTACTCATGCGGTGGGGCAGTCTCAAATTGTTTTATGGATACAGTTTAGGTCAGAGATTGTGCTTTCTATTTCTCTTAAACCCTGATTTATTTATCACATAGGAGGTGCATGAAAATACATGCTAAATGAAAATAGTGCAAAGAGCTCTGAACTTGGAAGCAGATGACCTGGACTTTGCTTCGGTTTTGCGCTTGTTACACATGAGCTGGGAGAAGACACTGACCTTTCACCTCTCTCATTTCTACACAGAGAATAGTGATCTCTGCTATGCCTACTTCGTCAGGTTAGTGTAAGAATTCGTGAAAATGTGAAGCTTGTTTTGTGAGCTGTAACTACTGTAGAAATGTAACATGTACTTCCTTTAGGTCCTTATTCACTTGTCACCTGTACAGTGAGAACTTCCCGGGTCTTCAGCTGGATCTAGACTTGGGGAAGTGAGAGAGCCCAGGCAATGTGACTGGCCCCAAGCCTGGGCCTGCCCCTGCTTGTCGTTGCCCTGTTCTGCACACGAGCTCCTCAGAGACTTGACTGTGTTCTTAAATATGGATTTTTATTAATTATAGGCATTTAGAGGTCTACACTGCCAAAATATTGATCTCTGTTGTCTATAGGCTTTGGGCAGGCTACTTCTTCTCTCATTTATTTATTCAGCAAGTTATGATAGATACTAGGGAATCACTGATGAATACAATTAAAAAAACAAAAAAAAACTTACAGTCCAGTGAGGGAGACAGAACAATACATGAATATAAACTGTGGCAAGTGCTAGGAAGGAGGCAGACTGGGTGCTGTGGCGGAGGACAAGGTTGGAGTGAGACCACTTGCAGTAGGTGGAGTCCTGCAGTAGTAGGGCCTGAGGGAGAGAACAAGCCAGCCATGCAGAGAACTGCCAGAACATTCTGGGTGGAGGGAACAGGATGTGGGCCAGCCCTGAGGCCAAAGGAGTCATCTAGTGAAGAACTGCAAAGTGGCAGGTGGGGCTGGAGTCTAGGAAGAGAGGCAGAGCATGGCCCGGGTAGTCAGGAGGGGTGGGCTACTCATGAAGGACTGAAGACTGTGGCATGTGTAGTTTTTAAATCACATCATTGTCTGAGTCCAGGACACTCTCTGTCTCAAAGTCAAACTCAAAATATTTACTTTGATGCTCGCACCAAAACCTGGGAGATACCCTTGTCTCTCCCCTCTTCCTAACTGTCCCTTCTCATATCCAATGTGTCAACAAAGCCTACTTCCATCTCTAAATATCTTTTCCAATCCATTCACTTCCCTCGCCTCCACTGCCACCATCCTGGGTCGAGACCTGGCCCGTGCTTCGTGGGCTGCTGTAGAAGCCTTCCAGGCGGTAAGCAGCGTGCTCGTAAGGTGGGGGGAAGATCGGCCTCGTAGCATTCTCAGGTTTCCTTGGTATAAATACTCACACCGTGGCCTCTCTCAGCCACCAACAGGACACTGCTAAACGTGGCATTTGGCAGACATGTGCACAAGAGCACACCACTGCCTCGGTGTTCCTGCTGCCCTCTTACTGCACTCCCAGAGGAATCTTTTAAATTCTCAACTCTGATCATGCCCCTAACCTCCTCAGCGCCTTCCTGCTGGGGTTGGACTGTATCATGGCCCAGGTGGAGCCATCTTAAAAGGAGCTCCCAGCTGGGGGTTTTTGCAAAGAATTTTGGGCTAAAACCTGAATCTCAGGTTTTTACCCAAATCTCAGTCCTGAGTCTTCAACAGAGTGATCTCGGCAACATCTGAGATGGCAGATTAGTTTCTTTAGTTTATGGAGGACTTTGCCCCTGGGAAGGTACATTAGTAAGCATAGGGATGATGAAGGAAAACAACCCCGTGCTGTTAGTATTGTGTACTAAATTAGGAATAAGTTGGTGATCTTTGTGGTAATGTATACTTTGTGATTATTTTAGATGTTTGAAAAGTTTTTTATTATGATCAAATATATTAATTTATAATTTTAATTTAAAATGTTTCTGAGTGTTTTATATTAGATTTATCATTTTAATTTGAAATATATAAAAAGTATTAAATTTATAAGCAATGATTGCATGTTTAAAATAACCTGATTGGTCCCATTTATGTACGATTTTTTTTAGACTTGCAGGAGTTGCTGAAATGTTTTGACAGTTTTCTGCTTCTTAGACTGCCCTGTCTGGAGGTGGAAGGGGTGGAGATGATCAATTACATTAAATTTATAGATACAATTTTAAATGTTTAAAGACTAATCAAAGAACAAATAAAAAGGATTCTTGTTTTTATACCAACATTGTTGAATCTATAAATAGAATAACAATTTAGGTTCAAATTAAGAATGCTATTAAATGCTACCTAAATGCTATTAAAAACTAGGTTTTAAATTTTTAAATCAGGATTTAACTTAAAGGCTTTTTAAAACTGGATTTTAAAATTTACAACTTTAATTAGCTAAATATCACTTAAAAGACAGGAAACTACTGGTATTCCTTTCAATGTTCAAGATTGTCTCTTCGGCTGTAAAAACTCAAATATTGTCCCTCCAGATGCAGGGGAAACTTCTGGAAAGAAAAAAAGACAGTGGTTATTCCTGGGCAGAAGGAAAAGTTATTTTTTGTTGTATAATCTTTTATACTGTCTGAATTTTTAAAATCGTGTCTGATTACTTTTTCAATAAGAAGCAAAATTAATTTAAAAAACAACCTGTTTCACCAGCAAATTGGTATTAACTGATCAACACCTAAGTGGACATATAGGAATAAAATTTATTGGGTGTCAGACAGGTGGGGGGGAGGGGATGGCTATATACATACATAATGAGTGCGATGTGCACCAACTGGGGGATGGACACATTTGAAGCTCTGACTCAAGGGTGAGAGGGGGCAAGGGCAATATACATAACCTTAACATTTGTACCCCCATACTATGCTGGAAAAAGTAAATAAAATAAAATAAAAAGCAACCTGTGGAGGAGTTGAGTTCTAAAGGCTAGAAGGAGAAAACCTGCTGATAAAAGGCAAGGAGATAGATGAAAGTGAGCACCCAAGGAGAATGAAAAGGATAGAATAAATTGTTTCATATAGAGTGCTGAAGTCTTGCAGACTGCACAAACAAATCTTTGAGCCAGTAAATCTTTTAATCATTTTGCAAGTAATTCCATTGACTCCACCCAATCTGCCCATAACACTTGTTCCCTCTTCCAGTCCTCATGCTACCCAAGGATGGAAATGGGTACTCCGCTGGGCGGGGCTGTATGTTGGTTCTTTATGGTATGTAATACAAGTTATACTAATTGAAAATTTAAAAAGTGACTGGGACTGTCCTTACACATCTCTATTTTGCTAGCATAATCTTTTGGTGCGTGATACATAGTAGATACTCAGTGAACGTCATTCCTCTTTTTCCTCCCTAGAGGTGGTCCCTAAGTTCTTAAGGGGCTTAAGCTAATGTGTGTGTCTGCCAGGGGAAGTGCTGTAGGCAGGAAGCATGTGCGGTTCAGAAGCCCAGCAAGACTTTAGAGGAGATGATGGGTGTCCAGATACTGGAAGGAGGAGCTCTTCTCTTCCTCAGCAGGAGAAGTAGAATGTTATAAGTGAAATCATAGGCTAATTAATAACCATTAATATTTGAACAGTGCTTTACAATTCACATTGCACATTCAAACAGATTTGCTCATTTAGTTTTTGCAACAATCCTATGAGGTCACCCATTTTATAAGAGAGGAAACAGAAACTCATTTAAGTGATTTACCCAAGGTCAAAGTGTCTGTGATGGTCTGAGGGTTCCAGTCCAGGTTTTCAGACAGCAAATTTGATGTTATTTATACGCTGCCGTATCTAATCTTGGGAGATGTTTTTCCTGCTCTTTAGCTTTACTATGTAGATGGCATGTTGTTAGAAATCTTGGCTGTGGTCTGCCAAACACTGAAATTCTCAAAGGGTCACATATTCCTTTGCTGGAGCAGCTTTCCTAAAAGAAAGCCAAACTTGTGACTATAAATTAGTCCTGTGTACCCTTAAGGAAGCGATCCTTCCAAGGGAATTGTAGCAACCCATTTTTACAGCTGGTGCTGAGTAAAATAACCTGTTCCTCTCTTTGCAGCCTTTCAGAGGACTCATAAAGGACATGAGCTGGCTGAGGTATTTACCATTCTTGAGCTACAATGTATGTTGTCAGATTTGCTAGAAAGAGGGCTTCAACTGTAATTGCTTACATTCCATTCATAATGAGAACATTTTGTTACTTCACTGAACAGTGTGTGCCAAGAAATTGTCCTTAAAAATTACTAAGTAAACCAAATGGCTTTGGCATAGAATAAGCTCCAAAAAGATTATGGCTGAGGTTCCCTTGATAGCCAAGTCAACCAACCCTTAAAATTCAAAACAAAACCCAGTCTTTACTTCATACCTTAAACATGAGATATGAAACAAACAGAAGAACATATAGGAATAGAAGAAAATATACATAAATATTATATAATCTTTGAATTGGAAGACTTCCTAAGTATAAATGCCATTGAAGAAACCACAAAGAATATATTTGCAAGCATGGAAAAATGTTTAACTCTGTATATCAGGAAATGGAATGAACAAAATTAAGAGGCAAATGGCATACTGGGAAAAATACTTCTACCTGGTAAGTCAAAGTGCGATTATTCTCAACATAATAAATAGGCAAAAGATACAGTTCACAAAGAGATACAACTAGCCAGTGAATATATGTGGAAGTATTCAACCTCACAAAAAGTCAAAGAAGAACACTTTAAGCCCACAGTGATACATTTTACCTGCTAAAATTGGCAGGGGAACATGTTCAGTCTTACATGATGCTGGTAGAAGTGAAAATTTTCTGGAGATAGTGTAGCAGTGTGCATTGAGTCATAAAAATGCTTGGGTTTAACAAGAAACTCGCTGGACCTGTATGAAGAATGCCAACTTAAAAACTTTTTTTTATGCATTTATGTTTACTGTGGGACATGCCATGTTCCTGCATGGAAAGATTTGATTTTGTTAAATATATAAATTTTCCCAAAATTAATTTTTAAGTCTAATGCAATTCCAGTACAAAACTCTAGTAGGATTTTATTTGGGAGTGGGGGCCTGATAGGAATGGACAATGTAATTTTTAATTTTTTCTTTATGTTCTTAGTAAAACATTTTCTTGGGGTGCAGAAAATTATATGATGGAAGAATAATTAGGAAAGAGAGCCAAGAAGATTTTAAATAGGAACAAAACATAGGAAAGATGTGCTCCATGGGATATTAATAGTATTGTAAAGAGTTTAAAGGTAAGGGTGATGTAAGTTGAACTATATAGATGGAACATAGCGAGTGGCTGCATACAAACCCAAGCATATGTGTGTGCCTGTAGTCCCATGTACTTGAGAGGCAGAGGCAGGAGGATGGCTTGAGCTCAGGAGTTTGAGACCAGCTCGGCAATTCTAAAAAAAAAAATAAAATTCCCTTTTTAATTGAATTAGGGACCATCTTACATCTTCTTCTGGTGTGATTCTTCTTAATTAACTATATCTGCAACAACCCTATTTCCAAATAAGGCCACATTCTGAGGTACTGGGGAGTTTGGATTTCAATGTGTGAATTTTTAAGGGACATAATTCAACCCGTAACAACTTGGAAGTCTTTGTGGTGGATCAAAAGTTGAATAAGAGTCAGCTTCTTAAGGGATGTTTATTTATTTCTTGTTTGGGAATAGAATCATCAGATGCAACCAATGCTCTTAAAATTATAATGCAAGGCTGGATATGAGTAAATTTTAGACTAAGAGCACTGTGTTTGGGGCACTTGAGGCAACTCTTCTTATTATGACTGCATAAGGGCAGTGTGAATTCCAGGAGTCTTGGGGATTGCAGCAATCCATGCCTTCAACAGGTTAGTGAGTTATTTCAACTGAAACACTTGATATCTTTTTTTTTTTTTTTTTTGAGACAGAATCTCAATTTGTTGCCTAGGCTAGAGTGCCATGGCGTCAGCCTAGCTCACAGAAACCTCAAACTCCTGGGCTCAAGCAATCCTCCTGCCTCAGCCTCCCGAGTAGCTGGGACTACAAGCATGTGCCACCATGCCTGGCTAATTTTTTATATATATATATATATATTTTTTTAGTTGGCCAGCTAATTTCTTTCTATTTTTGGTAGAGACGGGGGTCTCGCTCTTGCTAAGGCTGGTTTCAAACTCCTGACCTTGAGTAAACCTCCCGCCTTGGCCTCCCAGAGTGCTAGGATTACAGGTGTGAGCCACCACGCCCGGCCAACACTTGATATCTTGTTTGCTTATTTTTATCTTCCCAGTGTCAAGCATAGTCATAAAGTCCCTGGCAAATGGGTCAAGAAACATTGAATTAAATTACCAATCAATGCTAAGATTTATTTATTTATTTGTTTGAAACGTGTCTCACAATAGTATATATCATTTAATTGTTAGTGTTTCCTTCTCTTAATAGCAAATATAGTAATGGTGTGTCTTACAACCAGGAGCTTCTTAGATTTGATGGAATAAGATATTTGCACAAAAGTTACCTAAGAAATTGCTATACTTTCTACATGTATAGCATAGTTTATAGATAAAACATCTAAAACTGATTTTTAGTGCTCCTTCAGTTTTTTTTTTTTTCCAGGAAAGTTTTGTATTCCTCAAAGATTCCTCAAAAATAATATCATCAATGTCGCTACAACCTCTCTGTATTAGTCTGCTTGGGCTGCCATGACAATATACCTCAGACTGGGTGGCTTAAACAATAGGCATTATTTTCTCATAGTTCTAGAGGTTGGACATGCAAACAAAATCAAGGTGCCAGCAGGATTGGTTTGTGGTGAGGCCTTGCTTCCTAGCTTGCAGGTGGCCACCGTCTCACTGTGTGCTCACATGGATGTGGCCTTTCGTCTGTGTGCATGTGTGCAGCAAGATCTTTGGTGTCTCTTTCTCTTCTTGTAAGGCCACCAGTCCTGTTTGATTAGGGCCCCACCCTTATAATGTCAGTTATTCTTAATTTCCTCCTTAAAGGCCCTATCTCTAAATACAGATACATTGGGGAATCGGGCTTCAACATATGAATTTGGGGAGGGAACACAACTCACTCCATAACATTCTGGTTCTAACTGCAATTTTCTAACAAAGATGTAGCTGCCTTGGGCTCAGAAGCATGTCTGAGAGTGAGCTGGTCTCTGAGTTTGAACTGTGTTCTTCACTGGGAAACAACCCTCCATCTTTTATTACCTCTTTGCAGCAAGTTCCTAGAAAGCAGTCTTTCTTGCTTCACTTTGTTATGCACCAAGTGCATAACAGTTGGTGGAGGACATCTTATCCCTCCACCCTGTTAGGTCTTAGCTACTAGGTATCAGTTATCAACCCTCCTGGCTTCCTTCACCCGCTTCCTACAGGTCCTCCCAGGGCGTTGCTGTGCTCTTTGCGGCTCCCATCAAACAGCATTATGTTCTGACTGGTGCGGGGGTGCTCCATACTGAGTTTTTGGGGTTTTTTGTTGTTGTTGTTTTTTGTTTGTTTGGTTTTTTAAAGACAAGGTCTCACTGTGTTGCCCAGGCTGGACTCAAACTTCTGGGCTCAAAGGATCCTCCTGCCTCAGCCTCCTGAGTTGCTGGGACTACAGGTATATACCACCATGCCCAGCCATGCTGAGCTTTAACACCAGCCCTGTGTTCACGAGCTATCTTTGGGCACAAGTGAGGCTGAAGGAGAATAGCCTCTGCTGAAGAAATAGGCACATGACGGATGACACTCACCTGGGCACCCACTTCCTCCAGGAAGGACTTCCTATGGCCAGCACAGAGTGAGGGGTCTGGGCTCTTTCTGGTTCCCTTTCAATGTCTGCATAACCCGTACTGAAGGCTGGGGTTGGGGAGAGATGCCTTTCCTCTTTATCTGGTTTTCCTTTTCAAATTTGCCTTCACACAGAAGGTTTTTTCCAGTCTTTCTAGCTCTTGGTATCATATTTCCTCACCATGAGGCCTTTGTATACAAGGGGAAAGAATGGAAGCTAACATTTTTGGAGCACCCACCACATGATGTGTGTATTTATACATTACCTTACTTAATTCT